AAATATAAATTATATTTGAATGCGAATAACTCGATAATTATTTGCGTCCGAATATTGAAAATATCCGGCATTCACAGCAGGATCTGATATCTTGTTTATAATCTTCCCATTCCTCCATGTAAACATTAATTCCTAATAATTGGCTCAGAGCATCATCTCTCTCGAAGTCTCCAGTAAAGCGAAGAAATGTGAACTGTATGTAACGCTGCACACATCTTCCAATGGCTCGAAAACACAAATGGTCGGAATCGTCACAAATGACTTCGTTGATAAAGGGCGGGAACACTTTTGATGGAAGTCTTGTGGTTGCGGCACACTCTGTACAGAGGCGTCTTAAGTTAGTGTTATCCACGGTTGAGCCTCGACCCCAGCAGCCGCGCAGGGTGGAGCCTGGGCTCAAGGATGTCATCCGTTTCTGTCTCAACCGGTCTCCTTCCTCCTCACCTACTTCTGGCTCATCCAAAATGCGGCTCAAATCATTGTCAGAGGGGTCTTGCTGAATTTGGCGTGGCCGATGATCAGGTGGGGCCTCAGATGACGTATCGGGTTGTACAGGAAGTTCGTCTGCAACAGCTAGATCCTGAAATCTGCAAGAATCTGTCTTGTTTATGGCCATGTATCGTGGGTTGAAACCTCCGCCAGTGATACGAAGCTTGCTCATTAACTGGGTTTCATTGAGGCGAACGCATAGTTGATGACTCCGGAGTAACCTTCCACGATATTTAGGAACTGAATCGACGATGCGAGTGCAATCTTTTTCTTGAATTTTAGGCCTTGATGTTATTAAAGGTTTACGTGATGTTCTTGTTCGGCGTTGACGCAAAATTCGTGTCCTCCCACTAGAAGTCGGAAGCGTAGCCAAGACGACAATCATAAGCAAGACTAGTGACATTATCTGTTTAGAAATGCGATAAAATGGAAGAATATTCTATAAGAAAAAATGAATTAACCATCAAAATTGACAAAAATCTGAAATTAGTGACGGATCCTCGTAGATGAACTGCAATCAGACTGAAGAAATTACAGGAAAAGAAATCTTGAAAAATTGTGGCTGTAACAGAGTTCGAATCCGTTGTCTCCCAAACAGTAGTTGGGCCTTTCTGCCAACTCAGCTAAGAAGCCACTGTTATCTAACTTGTGGAGTGTTACTAAATTATAGTTTGTAAAGGACAACAGCAAATAGTTGCGGCCAAAATCTTACCCTATTTGTCTAATATACAGCGAAGCAACTTAGGCTCCATATAAGTAAAATTTTCACCTTCGGTTTCACAGGTATCTCCATGCTTCTCTAGACTGGCTGGTCAACTTCTCCAACACTTGTCTAACCTTAAAGAAAATCAATAATACTGAGTTTAATCTGTCATCTTTACACGTTACCTCTCGTTAGTGGGTTAAATTTAATTGCAAACAAAGAGAAAGACTGATTAAAAAAGCCAGCTGTTTGGCAGCCATTATTAGGGGGAAAATGCTATGTCGACTACAATTCTTGGATAACAATTGCCGCCTTGACAGGGTTCGTGTTTATCCAAGGCTTTTTAGCTGACAAGTGAACTTCGATTAATATTTCAACTGAATTTAAACCGTCGGTCTGTGTTTTTTTTCTTAACATCAGTTTTTCGCGAGTGAAATCAGTTCGTGGTATACTAATCTTGCCTGTCATGCTTGTTGACGTTGGTGTTGGCTGATGTATAAATTCGCTTGCGTGGAAATGTTCACAAGTGTTCATTGTTTGATCGGACGGCGCAACTGTTTGTAAACTCTTTAAGAAAGTTAGAAACAGTTGGACTCGTGTGACAGATTTTAAGTGGAACCTTCTGTTCTCTCATCTTGAAAAACAAATCACCTATGCAATCAGGAAGGCAACGCCGCGGAGGAAGTCGATTAACAAATGAATTTTTAATTTTAGTTAGAATTTTGAGAACAGCTGGATGTGTCACCGTCTCTTACGGCGCTATATATATCAACTCTGCCATAACGTCAAGTTCCAAGTAACAACTGAAATTATTTACCGCCGTGGTTTTCGTTCTGGGACCACGCAGATTTTGGTGACTTCACGTCAAGTTTTGCAGAGGACGGCTATAAATGTACAGCAATGTGTTAAACTGCTCGTGCTGCGCTATTCTTCTGCCAATTAGATCTTTTGTTTTGTTGTGTCCTCGTTTACCGTCGCCGTCTTGTTTTGCTTTTGACTCGTGACTTCTGACAAAACATATATATGTCACGCTTCCGTTTAGCCTGTTTGTTAAGCCATCAAACGAAGTTATTATTATTTTTTTTTACTGTTAAGCTGATATTTTCAGGTTTCCGATAGGGAGTCAACCGCTGTTCAATATTTGACTCAATTAAAAAGGAAAGGAACAAAGTCGAAATTTGAAGATATAGACATTTGCAGTTATTTCTCAATCGGCATTAAACTTTCCTTGAGAAAGTAACAAAGTATAGTGGTAAGCTTTTCATGGAGCGGAATTTCAACAGCAGAACGCGGAGGAATCCAGAATTTCTTTAAAAAGAGAAGCTTTATACAAACCGTATACAAGTCTTTACAAAAGCGCTCAGACATATCTTAATACTCCGACGTAACACAAACAAAAACTCTCTCGATTAAGAATATCAAATATATAAAAGACATGTTCTACTCTCGTCCTAAGAAGAAAAATCATGATTGACAGTACCAATTATAAACAAATTAATAGCGAATTTATGTTTTTTAAGCAAAACTCAATCAAAGAATCATACATTTTGGATTTAAGTTCTGTATGAGAGTTTTCTTGCTACACCCAAACTTCGCAATCGTCAAAAAATAATTTACTGGGCTTGAAACTTTGTTGCTGCTTGTGTGAGGTCAGTGTAGTATATATGCATCAACGACCAAAACTTATAAAATCAGATAGATATAAAGAACAAGTAAATTTATAACTAAGCATAACTCCCGTGGCATACCTTTGTACAAGCAACTAAGGCCTCAGTCTGTTCAGATCGCTTTTCTATTGTTCAGCTCTGCAGTCGTTCTAATCTTTTGTGAGTATAACGAACTCTTTTTAACCAGTCAAGGCGGAAAAAGCAGAAAGCAATATCTTTGTCTCGAAATATTTTATTCTTCTTTTGTGGCTTTATAAATAAATAATAATAACCTTTAGCCTAATACTTGTTTTGCATAATAATGAAGCTTTATTACTAGCTACCTGTGTACTTCCTGTTACTGCTTTCACCGGCCAAAAGGGCCGACAGAACTCTAGGAGTTTACCAAAAAAGGAGAAATAAAAATATAGCTGAGCAGATTTGCTATTATAATTCGTTTTTTCTTTGTTAATTCTCGCAAGTTCGGATTTCACCATAGTTAAGTTGCTACAAGTTATGATGCAAAACGGCGTATAACGTTTTCAATTGATCTTTTTGTCAATAGCATATTTGTAGCTTGTCATAAGGATATCAGACATCAGCACTGTATATTTTGTGTAAGTGGTGGATTCTCTGGGTAATATTAGGTTTATTTTTGCATTATAAATCAATCATTAATAGAAAACTGACAAAATCCATCAGCAACTGATTGACGGCTAGTGAACAAAAGAAACCTTGATCCTAACCTTAGACTGGAAAAAATATTAGTTTTAAGACTTAAATAATGGGGGAAAATATTCTCTTAGAAATCACACTTTTAATTAAATTGAAAATTCCTCCTTTGACTCGTAAAAGTTCGGTGTACTTCTTTGTTCTTCGATTGTTATGACGTTGGTGTAAAGTTGTAAGATCTATAGCTCACAACTTCCGTTGTTTCCACGCAAGAGTATTTCCCTAGGAAGAAGTAAAAGATGTGGGCGAAAATAAAGCAAAATATTTAAAGAAAAATAGAACGGAATTTATTTTAGATCTCTACAAACTGTGGAAAACGATCATTCATTGAAGAGAATCAAGGCATCCGCGAAACTAATTTTGCGTACTCTGGAATTGTATACTTTCGTCGACAAAGTAATTGTCCGTCAAAGAGTAGGACGAAAGCGTAAATTTAAAGTTAGTAGACTGAGGCAATATTTGAATAACAACTTGAAACTGTGACCTTCTGTCTCCTAGAAACAGTAAGCAAATATCTGATTGTTTATTGCTTCTACTTAAAGTTAGTCATGCAATGACGTCATGGTTCAGTGTGGTTATTTTGGCACTCGCCCTAATGACGCACAAGGTAAGAGCCAGATCGTCACTTAAAGAACAATAATCTAATACATAAAGGCGAAAATATTGATGTAATTGGATTATACTGAGTTATAAAGCGGTCACAACATGGTATTATAACTCTAGCGCGTAGGCCACGGGATTTTACCGAGTTGATATTGAGATCCAAGTGTTTCAGAAAGGAAAGAGAACTACTTTGCCGAAAAGTCGGAACCAAACTAATTTAGGAAGCAAATCAATGGCCCATGAAAACAGCTGATCACAGCCCGCCAGTATACTGAGCTGAATTTTTTTTAAGTAACATCTGTTCATCAGTCCAAGATATTTCTGATCAAGGAAAAGATATTTCTGTTTAGAGCATTTTTCTTAATTTTTCTTCTTGTAAAGAGCCGAAGAGTTTCGTCACCATATCTATTTTTTTTATCTGCAACAATTTATCTTTAATACACTGATTAAAATTCAAGTAGGAGAACCAATTTAACATCAAGGTGTTTGAGCATCTTGAGTAAACATGACATTTGTTCAACATGGTCCTAGCCTACGTGTAGCCTTACCCTCTACTCGGAAGAGAAACGTTTTCCTTTTCTGCAAGGGAGGAAGGTTACGGCTACACAAAAGTCAACACGGTACACATGCTTTCTGATTGAAAAAAACACACTTATTTCCAATTCTATATATTCTCGAATTCAAAACCACGGCTATGTACTATACTTAATAACTGCACTCAGGGATCACTCATTATTTAACGACGGGGTGGGGAGGGGATGGGTGGAGGATTTTAGGGGGAGGGGGAGGGAGAGTAAGAAGAAACGTTTGTCAACTAACTTCCGGTTTATTTTCGATGTGCAGCAAAACCTGCCTTACTTTTAAAACAGCAACTATTATTAACCACAAAATCGCGAGGTAGGCTTACTATGATTATATTTGTTTTGAAGAGGAGCTAACGCTCAAAACGTAAGCTTCAGAAACTCTTTACGGTGCCTAATTTATAAAACAAAATCATCTTAAAGTAGTACCGTCTACTGTTAGGTTTTTTTACATCTAGAGTCAAAAATCAAATAAAATGTTGCATCTCTAGTCTATTTTGAAAATGGATGTGTAAGATTCCAATCTTCAATGTGGAAAAAAGTCGAGTCGACGGAAGAAAAAACAGCAGGAGAAGGAATTCCAGGTTGCGCACGCCTAGTAGCGAAGAGAAAACAGCCTACTTAATAGCCAAGGAACTACCGGCCCAGGCTCAGCCGTTGGCATTCGCAGCAAATACCGATTTCTTGCGTATACGGATTCCATACCTCGGTGTAAATATCAATCCGTGGCCAATAACTAACGGTTTCATGGAACTCATATTCCCCAGTGAAATGAATAAATGTAAACTCCATGAACCGCTGAATGCATCGTCCCTCATTCGTGAGGCAGCTGTCACCTTCACATTTGACTTCTCTGATAAATCTGGGGAAAACTCCTTCTGGCAGGCTTGTGACAATAGTACGTTCCGTACATAAGCGAGTTAATCCGCTTTGACCCACACGCGATTTGTTATTCTGATAGAATTTGCTTGGAAGCTTGTCCCGAAGTCTTCTGGCATCTGTCTCGTTGATTGCCATGTAACGCGAGTTGAAGTCGCCAACCTGTCGAAGCCTGGCTTTCAGCTCGATGTCATTGAGACGGATGCAAAGTCGGGTAAGGGGTCGCAATTTTCCTCTACTGCGATGATCAGGGATCTCGTCGACAATGAGACTGCATTCTTTGCCGGCAATTTTTGACTTCTGGGAAATTGGGCGAAGGCGATTGTACAACGTAGGAGGAGATTGCGGTACGTTCCATCGGCGCCCTAAAGATGGCGGAATCTCAACGTACAGAAATATCAAAGTGGCGAGGAACTGCATCTGTAAAATAAGAGGCACCAATTGCAATGTAAGGTGTCAACTTTGACGCTCAATAGTTGCATCCTCCAACTTTAACAGCTGTTTGTTCGGCAAACCTCTCATTAAATATCCGTGAGATTCATTTCTAATACTCGTAATCTAAATGAAGTAGCAGATACAACTGAGAAAATAAGTATGGGGTCAGTGCGTGTTTCAGTGAAAGTACAACGTTTTTGATCAATTTGTTCGGTGTACAATTAAAGTGACAGAGAAAGTCAACCAAAGTTGAATTCCATCTCAATAGGTCAATTTAAAAAAAAAGACAAAATAAGGATTTCCACCAAAAAGTAAAAAAATTACTCTACCTTCAGCCCTAGGCTCATCATCTTTAACTCCGTAGGAAAGTTATAGTAGACCAATTGAAGATTCTTTGAAAACCTGAAAAATCAGCAGTTCAGGAATATTTTATCATCGTAGTAAATTTAACGAGCTTCAGTTCTTTTCCTGTATATAATACTAATCCTTTCCCTTCTCAATCAACTTCTTTCCTTTCTTGGTTGATTGTTTTCTGTTTGGTCTTCGTCAACCCCGCAAACACCAGACTGACGAAGCGCTAATGCTTTTCACGGAGACCGCCAATTTACATTATAACTCAGCTGATAAAACAAAATCATCTTGATAATACCTCCCTCAGACGCAGCACTACAGTTTTCTTAGTAACTAACCCCTTTCTAATTGTTTCAAAGAGTTGCGCGATCGAAACGGCGACACCCTATGCGGCTAAAACTGTTTCAATATATGTGTCTAAACTTAATTTTAAGTCCAATTATATAAATCAAGTCATTAATTAATATAAATTTGGGTGGTATGTAAGCAAAATCCTGTTACTTTCTTCAAAAATGTTCTTACCCTTAGTTCGTTGAAGACCGAAGGTTACTTGCTGAAAGGTAAGGTAATCTTGTGTCCGAAATCGTGTTCTCTTTGAGGCCCTGCTTGCGGTTGTGATTTTCTTGGATAACTGGACTTCTTTTTAAAACAACTGCTAAGCGGAAAAAAACAGTCCAGAACTTTTGTAAAGTTCGAACAATTAACGATGGTAAATCAAGTCCGCTTTGCATAAGAATAAACAGCTAATTTTTTCCGCTTCTGTCTAATTGCTAAAATCCTTGACAAACACACCGTCCTAGCGACGCAGGATTAGTTCGATCAATTATGCTCGGAAATAAAATGGAGTATTGGAACTGAATAATAAAGCTCTTTCAAAACTTTGTTTCACGACATTTGTTGTCTGATTCACACTAATTGAAACTGGCTTGACGAAAATTCGATTTTACAAGCATGCTTCACTAACAGAAGTCCACTGACAATAAAGTGTTATGATCATCAATTGGTTCTTTCGGCAGCGTGCGTTCCCAGAGATATAAAACACTTGGGAAGTTTGCAGATCACAGAAGAACCGTGAGTTGCTCTCGGCCACACTTCCAACAACTCTTTCCTGTCCTCAAGTTTTTGTGCGGGAAATTTGGAGAGCTAGGTGACTTGTGAACCAAAAAGTAAATTTAATAAGAGCAATGGCATGGTGGAAATTTGCATTTCGTAGCTTGAACTATTGTGTCTAATTTTCCTTAAAAACCCTGATAACTTTTAATTTTTCTGTTACTCGCTCTCTCTTTTTTTTTTTTTTGCAATATGATGAAATTTCCTTATCAGTCTCCCGAAAAAAAGGTCAAGTACAAAGTTCCGGTATTTAATTAAATAAATTGAATTTTATTTACTTCGTCATCCCTAATTTCGTAGGCCTCTATTTAGTATTTGTTATTCTATGGTTTGATCTAATTTCTTTACTATTTTCAGTCCCACCAAAACAAACTAGTTAATTTACTAATTTGTATTTTTTTCCGCTTAAGACGATGTTCCTATTAGCGACGCCAAAATTTGCTTTTTATGAATGAATGATAACAAAACACTTTGGTTCTCTGGAAAAATCGGTGTTCATTTTTTCCTCTTTCGAACATACCGCTGATGTCTGTTGCGGTATCTAAAACTCAATTTCCATTTAGTCCAGTCTTGTTGGACTTGGAAATATTTTATTTTCGACTGCTGGGCACGCTTTTAATACGCCAACGTATTGGAAGTTCCGTTTTTAAATGAAGCCTTCCGAGACAAATCACAACATTCCGCTCTCTAGAAAAATCGGTTTGCGTGAACATTTCCTTTTCAGCGTGTTGTTGATCCTAATTGTGTTTTCAGTTTATGAATATTTATTTCTGAAAATGACTTAGAAGGCCTTGGCGATTCTTAAAGTTTTTCCGCTCTCATCCGTTGTCGCAAATGTCTCTATAAAAATTCACAGTGTATCGTCAAAAGTTGATGACCGCTTGTTTTGCATGTATGTCTAGTGTAGAAGTCAGCTTTACATGTGATGTGCCCACGCCTGTGCTCTACACGCGATGTGTTCACGCCTGGTGAACACGACAAAGTACTTAGGAAAGGTCAATGCCATCTCCTTTCACATTACCAAATATTAAACACATCTTGGAAGAACACGCCGTCAGAGGATGTGAAAACTTGCGTTATTTTACGTCACTGACCCCAAGTTTAACTACAACCTTTTTTCTCTGGGATAGTTTTTTGACTGTCTACACTCTTGACGAAGATCTGATGTTACTATTAAACCATCCATTTATCATTTTTGATGTTTATCGTTTGGAGTGGTCGAGGAGATAAGTGTGTGAAATTTTTATTAAAATCGTTCGATTCTCGTTGTAGTGACAATATTAGCAGCTGATCAAAAAACTTTGACATCTGTATCATCAGGCGGCCTAGAGATGTTTATGTTTAGAGGCCCATATGTACGCGATTACATCGAATTCATACTCTAGCACTGTAGAAATATGGCCTAAACACTCTGGACCGTCGTATGTTTAAACTAAAGACGGCAATCGGCTTATTCAACATTTCAGGAAGTGATAGCAGTTAGGAAAGTTGTTTCATAATCCGCATTTGGTATCATGCGGTATTTGAAATTGGCCAAACATTTAAGGAGCTCTAACAAAGAATTGAAATTTGTCCAAGTTGTCTGTTCAACGATTATTCTATTACTTTATGTAGTCATCGGTATGATTCGCAGAACACACGGCACTCAAAACCTTATATTCCTAAATTTTCCGTAATTCTAAACTTTTCAAACCAGTTTAGTTTCATTCTCCCCTTGTTTGAGTTGTGATAGTGATAAAGACAAAGGGAAACAAAAAATGAAATTTTTTTTTTAAAGTTTAGACCAGGGAAGAAATTAGTCACAATACATACATTAAAAAATAATTGTACACATCCTTCTTAACATGTTCTGTTATTCTACGTACTAATTACTATCACTAACATAACATTACATAGGTAATTGTTTTTCCACGCAAAACTCTTATTCAAATGAATTTAAAATGTTTTCTTTATGATAATCATCCAAATAATCATGTCAGTGATCATCACTGCGAAATGAAACAATTACTCCTTGTTAATATCCATTTATTTACAATAAGACATCCAGCTGAAGTAGCAAGAGTTAAGATTGAAAAATTAAAGCGTATTCCGATATTACACAATAGCAATCTAACAAATCAGCGGGTCTTACAAGTCTATCAGTGTTTCATTTTTGCTATAGAACAATTTTAACGCTTTTTGAGATAAAATAAACTTAGATCAAACCGAATTTTTAATCAAATATTGCAACTCTTCATCTTTTACATGATGTTATTGCTCTGCCAGTTAATTTATTCTCCAAGACACCACACTCATAGCATGACCTGATCTCACGAGTGATATTTTCCCCGACAATCCTGTATATAGATATCCATCTCTCACAGGGCGCTAAGGATGGGGTCTGGTATAAACTTACCAGTAACTTCAAAGAAGTCGAAGGTAATAGCTCTCTGAATACATTTACCGGAAAATTTATTACAGGAGGATTGAGTGTTGTCGCATATTATCTCATTGATGTACGGGGGGGGGGGATATTACTTTTTAACTTCGTTATTGCGGCGCATCAGTTGCACAGGTGTTTACCTCTGCTCATGACAGCGTCCCGTGTCCAGCACCGGCCAACTTAACTACTCTCAATCAAAAACTTTTCACGCTTCCGACTCCTCTTGCCCTCGATCCATGGTTCAAGGCGTTAGGCATCGGCCTCGAATTGATTCAGGCCATCGCTTATCACGCTCGACTTCAGTCAAGCAGCTTGAGGTTAATCATGTTAAGCCTGGAATAAACGCAGAAATTGTTCCGATAGAGGCATCGACTCCGCGAGAACAAGTACGTCGAGCTGTTTGCACGCCCCTGTTTCATTGATGGTCATGTAACGCGGGTTGTAGGTAGCTTAGTTACATAATTTTTGTTGCGTTGAGACGAACACAAATTGGACATACAAAAGAGAAACTGAGATCCGGCTGAGGCATTTCGCTCACGCTTTAACCGAATTTATCCTTACTGATTCTCTCAGATGACCTTGTGGGAGTTGTTCTGGATAGTAAAAAATGTCTCAAACGAAGCCATCATCGTAACAAGAAGAAACATGAAAAACACTTGGATCAGCGTTTGTAGTTAAGAGAAAAGATAGGAAATCTTATGAACCTAAATTAATATAAAAGAGAATCAAGAACGAATTTATTATTATCTTGAAAACGGAGGCCCGTGAACCAAATAAACAAAATAACGCATTTTATTTATCTCTTACCGAAACTACAGTTACAATGGAATAAACGGAGTAAGCTTCTGGAGAAACTGTTGCACAGCGTCGGTGTGGGCATTAAAGAATAATTTGGCTTCATCCACTAAGTTTATAAGGGAAATTGTCCACCATAAAGAGCTTCTACAACGGAAGGGTTAACGCTCCAAACGTCAGCTTGAGATCAGAAACTCTTTACGGTGGCCAATCATCACAGTTATCAACTCAGCAAATAAAACCAAATGATACAGTGTCAGTGGTCTCAGTATTATGAAATAACAATAAAGGGTAACTGACAGACCAAAATAACCTTAATCAGTTTTAAATGCTAGGTTGCCATGATGTACAGTGATGTTATTCACTGAGCAAAGATATTAATTATCGTAATGCCCGTTTGTTAGCAATACGGCGGTTTTATTGGTGGAAACATATTGCAGACATTTTAACCTGACTTTTATTGCTCATTTTTAATAAAATGGTGTTTTCATATGCATTGGATGAAACACAGACATCTATTAAAATATCATAGGAAGGTTGTTCTTGATAAGTCGAGAAAAAAGAAAAGATATAACAAAACTGCGAAGGCCGTTGAAATTTTTTCAGAAATTCGCATCGTGGGCCCTAAAATCTTCTTGGTTGACGAGTGAGAAACAATTGAAAAAAATTGCCATGAATCTCAAGTGAAAAGACTTTTTGGATTAAAAATTTAACAAAGTGTTTGACGATCAATTTTAATTGCCAATTATGGAAACTATAATCTTTACACTTCTGTTTTCAGGCTTGAGAAGTGTGAAGCCATCTCCGATCGAATTTTGGGATACACTTTGTCCGAAGGTGCCCCTAATGTCGTAGCGCGCTTTTCGCAGAATTCCTAGAGTGCAGCTTTGAATTAAAACAACTCAAAGCTGCCTTTAAAAAAAAAACAAAAACAAAAACAAAATTTTAAATCTGTTTCTTTCACAAAAGACAAAAGGAGAGACCATAAAATTTAAACAGTCTAACTGAATGCTTCACAACAAATTCTTAAGATACAAAGAGTTTCTCCAGATACAGATTTCTTGTTTGTTTGTTTGTTTTCAAGCGAGCCAAAGAAAAACCCTTATCAGTTAAATTCCTGATCAGGCAAAATTTAAAGAAGAAAGCAAAGTAAAAAAAAAGAACTTTTTTTTTCTTTTCTAAAGAGTTGAATCAAAAACTCTGTTTTACGATCGTCAAGGCCGTCATAGTTCTCACGAGACGTATTACAAAGCAACAAATTGCCGGTACGGCAACTTCCCAGAAGCTCAAGTTCTCTTCATCTTGGTTTGAATCTAAGAAATTCTTGTTGGAAACGGAATTTACAGCTTTTGTATTTTGATAATGTACTTACCTTTTTTCTACGAATTTACTCAGTGCCTCACAAAACAGCTTTCCTTGGAGATCTGAAATTCAGTTTTGTCTGTCTTAACCCAGCCTTTCGGAAAGTACACTTGGTGGTAAGTACAAACTGTTTGGATGAATGTTGACTCAACTTACTGAAATCAGCAACGTCAGTCATTTTATTAATTAAGGATGTGTAGAATAAATTTCACTGTATTGTCATAAGGTAACCGTAAAAAATAGGTTTTGTCTCTCTGCAACTATGGAATCCGGCTGAAACTTAAGTCCGCAGTCCTAAGATTAATAGAACACCAAAATATATTATACCTAAGTATAATCACTTTTCGTAATTAGGTTATATTATAAATTGCTACTATAAAATTAAAGATATGGATACAATTTATTTTCAGATATCTAAACAAATATTCACCAGATATATGCCAAAATGTCTGGCAAAAATTTGGAAAGGCAATGATTGAAATCTTCCCAAGCATACCTGCTTTTCGTAATAAGGCAATAATTAATACATAACTACAAAATAAAAGAAATGGAAACAAGTTAAATTCGGATATCCAAACAAACCTTCATTAGATAAATGCCAAAATGTCTAGCAAGGAACTAATAAGACTTTTTAATTACTTAAGATTTGAGGCTGTCATTCTGCAACTTTTTTGCGGCAAATTGTAAATTACAGAACGACGAAACGCCAACATGTCACCCCGTTCAAAGATGACGTGCCACGTATTAGATGACAAAAGATATAGCACGCGTTCTGTGCACGTCTCTTTACGATATTGTATTATGCATCAAGTTTATCTTAAACGTTGTGTACAGAAACATATTGTTTTTTATTTATTACGCCAAAATTTTACACAAAAAGATTTTTTGATCATGGGCTGTGCAGTGTTTAATGCTGTAAATATTTGAAGAAGAAGGATCAACCTTTATGCATTCAGAATAAACGAATACTTTAATGATAAAGAAAGGATCGCATTGGGGAAAGGAATTATTAAATATCTCATTTACTGCGCACTTTATGTTTGACCAACTTTTCGTGCCATACTGAGTTGTACAGCCCGCAACAATCAAAAGACATTTTTGCTGCCAAATTCAACTGTGAAATCTACTACTCAGTTGTCAAGCTATAAAAAGGGGTAAGTTTCTGAAGAAACTGGGGTTTTATGCCGGTGGGAGAGCATAACAGGGTAATTTGGTGTTATCAACTTAGTTGATAACGTAAAGAGTTACAAATCTCACGTTTCGAGGTTAGCCCTTGGTCAGAGCGAAAAAAAATAGAAAAAAACGAGGACAAAAATACACTCAAATAACGTTTTATGGGTATTTCGAGATCAATGCTTCTTTGGTGTTAAAAGACCAGTTATTATTTATCACCGAGCGGAGAGAATTTTTGGGAATCTCGTGGTTTTCAGGAGGGGCAGAGGTGGCACCAGTCGCTGGTAACAGAGTGTAAAGGAGGGACTATGGAAAATTAACTACGGGGGGGGGGGGGTGGGGGCGATCATGAGATATAACAGAGCTAGTGAGGGTGGATCGTAGGATCGTAGGAATATTGCAGAGCCTTATGGGAGGATCAGGTAAATCTTATATTTTATCATGACCCAAACAAAATCGTTCAATCAATCCCCTCCCTCCCTCCCCTCCCTTCAAGACCATAAGTAATGACCCGTCTACAATCATACCTCATGGATTCGTTCAATCAGCTGCCAAATGTTGGAAAAGATAATTTTCATCCCTAAAAATTGTTTATCGCAAAAACAGAGACTATTTCAGGCCAAGTCCTGTCTTCGCACACGTTTGCATTTCTTTTTTCTGCTTTTTTTTTAATTTTATTTTACCGACGATTTTGTAAGGCGTAAAATATTATGTCGCCACTGTTTCCCTGAAAGACACTATCGGCAAGGGCATACGAAATGTTTATATTGTGCCCATATTTAGTATTTTACCTAATGGTAACTTTGAAAATACAACATTATGACGGCAAGATTTCCACCGCATGTTATACCAGCCTCACACGAATTGTGTCGATATAGTTCCTTGCCACTGATCTTACGTCATAGAATAGATAGAGTCTGAAAAGCTAAACAGCCCATATATGTTGATAACGATATTACCAAACAGAGCAATATATAACAAAAGCTGTGAAAAGTCACCTATTTCAAAGTCAGTTTTCTTGATTACCAACGATATTATCCTGAAATGATTTACTAAATAGAAGTAGAAATTAGCGGTGGGGGTTGATCGATCAGTCGGTCGAAAATGAATAGTACCCTTCAAACGCCGAACTTTTAACCTGAGCAGATAAGAGTTAAGATGGAGTTGATATTTATCAATGTTTGCTATATATTAGACGGCTGCCTCAAGCAAGGACGTCCAGGAGCCAAGAAAAATTGCATCCTGGAAGATGTAACTGTGTTAGCTATTTTGTTAGTTTACTAAACATATATATATATATATTTATGTTTTGTTACTGATTAATAATATGTGTCATGTCATTTAACTATGTAAATTAAAACAAGCACTGCTGGATGAATAGCACTCGAGAGTATTGGATGTTTCCTGGCTCACGAATGTCTGCGTACGTCTTCTTCTTATCTGTCAAGATCAGAAAGAAACGTCTCCCAAGTTGGGTCAACATATCAACTCCCGCCGCTTATGGCTACCTCCGAGAATTCAGCCTCACATAGTTTCAAAAAAGCCGTGTTGAGTGAGTCGACTTAATAATTTTGATTTTTTTCGGAGATAGGAAGTAAAATTATTGACAGTTAGAATTCAATGAACATTTCACTTAGCTAAAGTACTTTGACAAGTTTGAGACAAAACGCTTTATATCCATTATAAACATTTTTTGCTACTCATAATAATGAATTTACTCATCGCAATAAGCGCAAAATAAACTGGCTGCTTTTCACAAGTAGGAGGGATTTTACCCAAATAAAATCCTTTCCTTATTTGGTTCTTTGGATATGCTTTATAGAATACGATTTTAAAAGCAGGATGAAACATTTTATTTCAATTGAGGGACTTTCCTTAGTATACTGGTTACCAAAGATCACTGCAATATTACTTCTCTGGTCGCAAGAGAGTACTTGAAATAAAATATGAGAAAAAAAAATTGTTCAAAAATAGAATTCCTTTTCAACGTCCTTATAAATGCTATGGTAGTTTCTTAAGTTGGAATTTGGAGTAACAGCCGTCTTGTTAAGGCTTCTGTCATTTAAAGCAACCTTCAGTGCGTCGACGTTCTGTTGCGTCGAAAAAAGGTGAGTGAAAAATACAAATGACTTAACGGAACAGATTCGTGATTAACTGTTTTTGACAAAGTGTGGAGATGAAGCCATTTTTGTTTCTTTTGATTGATGAATTCAGAAACAAAGTTTTTTTTGAGCAGAGCATGAAATGAATTATCACGAAAGGCCCAACATACGAACGTGTTTAAAATTGGAAAACTGAATTTTGTTGAGCGGGCATTTAAAAACTGGAAACGAAACCTTAAAAGGCCTGTTTATTCAACTCTAACCAAAGAATCGGAGAGTACTATCCATTAAGATTTTTGTTATCACTGAAAGTAGTGTGCTATTTTTAAATTAAATCTATTTTAACATGGTCATTGATCTTTTGCGAATTTTTAATTTTCCCATCGGTATAAATCGTGGCCACATTTGAGAAAGGAAACTAATAAAATCAATTGAGGACTGTCATTTAATTTGGATTTGGATTCCTCAAATTCATGGCAAATTCTCTTTCAGTACGCATTCAGAAACACGGCAGGAGGATGCCAATGATAATATTCTTTAGTAACCTCCACTCAAACATAATGTGTTCTTATATTAAGTGTACGCCGGAGAAAATTACATCGTCAGGGGATCGCTGCAATTTGGGAAATCGCCGCAGACTAAAAGGAACTACATATGCGTAATGTTAACTGGATTCCTGCCTGATGCTGTGCTCTTTCAAATTAGCTGCATTTATCTTAAAAATTCCTCTGGAACTTTGCACGCGAGTATTCAATAACTTTACGGTGAAAGAAAAGATGAACGTGGTGATCGATATGCAAATACGATATCATGCAGCATGCTTGAACGCATTGAGTATCAACTGAGCAAGGAAGGGACTTACTATCAACGGCAAATTTAAACTTCTGAAACTGATACTTCAGTTTAACAATAAAATCATGAAGGCTTCCAGGAAATTCCATCCTGAATTTGTCTTCGAGTCCAAGTTGTACATATATATTTTTTTGTAATGTAAATTTGGCTTTCACGCCGAATATCTATAATTACTTCCAAACTATTTGCCTTGAAGAAGTGACGTCATGATATTCCCGCCATTCGTCGGTATTTTTCGTTGTGAAACTTGAAACTATCACGATAAAAATATATTTAAGAGGCAATAATGAATCGAGAAGGTTCAAGGATGTCTAAAGGTGGGAGAACATCAAAACAGATTGCAGACGATGAACTGGAAAAAAATCAACCAAAGATTTTGCAAAACACACCGTTGATAACAAGATCAAGTAGTTATAGCGACCCAATTAAGGCTTTGCGTTGGTCATTCTATCGATAGATCAAAATCAGTTATAATGATCGATATACTGACTTTAAAACAATTATCTCTCAACCATCAGTTGGGGAGCAGAAACAATCTGTCCTGTGGCAGAACGGACACAGCACTGCAGAGAATGAAGGTAAGAAAAATGGCGGTAATTTCATTTTCTGATAATCAGTGTATACTCTTTTCGAGTCTTCCAATAGTGTAACTATCAATAGCTGATACAGAAAAAAAATCCGAAAAAAGAAGAATGAAAGACCTATCATTTTAGAAAATAAAATCGTGCACTAAACAATGCAACTCCAGAGATGGGAAAAAGAATAGTAAACGTTTGCGGTATGAAGATTTACCCCTCTGACGGATATATCAGTCAAAAAAAAAAATCAGGCCAAATAAGGCAATTATGGAAGTTATCGAGGGAAAAAGAGCTTTGATTTTTTTTGAAAAACTGAAGTCTTGATGATTAAGAAGATATCTTTACTGAAACTTATTCAAAAGATTTATTTTGAATGAAAATATATGGTAATTTACTTGACGATCATAAATGATCATAATAATTGATAATTACAGAAGTCACTTAAATATTTTGAACAGGATTAACTGATGTTGATTACTGGAAAAGTTTTCAAAAGTGTTATATAAACGCAAATAAAACGTGTAATTCTTTTTTTAGAAATTTATTTCAGGCTTATAAGTTTCGCGTTTGAGCCATATTAATCTACCATTATACTTTCGTGATATTTGCTTGTTAATGCGCCAGACATCCAAAAGGTTAATTGTTCAAAAGTGTTTACATAAATGCAAATAAAACGTGGAAGTATTGAATTAGAAATATATTTTCAGGTTTACAAGGTTCGCGTCCAAGTCAAATAAGTGGATTACTATAATTTCATGTTATTTGCTTGTTAATGCACTAGAGTCTCAAATCATCCGTTGCTTCCATATCTCTATTTGTTCCTTTTAAAGTACTGAATCAAAGTACCTCACCTGTATCGTCCTCAGTTTCCATTCGACCTACTTTCCTCAAAGAAATCTGGTGTTTATGGCGCATTTTGAACCTTCTTAACTTGTTTCAGCTGGAAACAATTCTTTTTGCGTTGGTTTTTATACTCAAGTGTATCATCGTGGTAGAGGGTCTTTTCCTGAATCACTACCCGTATGAGAATGATGAGAGGCAGCAGATAGCAGATCGCAGAATTGTGATTGGGTCAAAAGAGCCGCGTGTCATAAATAGAAGCTTGCTGGCAGGTTATCGGGGAAGGCCTGGAAATAAAATGAGACAAAGATTTAGATATCCATGGAGATCAAGAATCACGAAATTTGCGACGATCAAAGCGAATCCGGACATTTGCCGAAACCACTCGAGGGTTAACCGAGTGGAAGACGAGCCCGGCCCAGTCGTGTGTTTAAGAAAGTCAGAACATGACCTTTTGGTACAATTAGGGTCTACTGGAGGGTTAAACAAACGATATGCGGCTGTTAACATCACTGACGCAAGTGGTTTTGAGGATCTAACCACTTTCCCGGAGGGACAACCGAAGACACCCGATCATGATCCGAAAAAAACCGAAGTGATGAACTTGACGGAAAGCACGAAGCACCATGCACCTATGCGCCAAGCTGACAAAGAGGAACTTGACTTGAAGAAACAACAGCGCCTGAAAAGGAGCCTTCCTACGTCTCCAGGCACATTTTTCCGTGGGTGTCAGAAACGGGGCACAATCACAAAAGGCACCAATTTGCACCGCTTATGCACGGAATGTTCAGCCACCACTCGGCTTAGTGACGATCGGTTCCCAAAGTACATCAACGAAGTTATTTGCCGGGATAGCGACCACCAGTGTGCTGCCAACATGGGGCGTTGTTTCCAGCGAACACACAAACTTGATTTCTTGCGGTTTACTGGCAAGTTCGCGCCTGATATTAAAATGACTAACTTTGCTGGCAAGCCTGTGTATAAGGAAGTGTGGGACCTCTACACACAGGAGATTCGATCGTGCTGTGAGTGTGAAATGTACCCTCATATTTATCGTGCGATTAAGTCGAGGAATGGCGGAGATGACGGAGATGACGGAGATGATGACGGAGATGACGACGACGACGACGACGATGATGATAGATAATAACGATGAACGAACTGATGAGAGTTGATCTTCTCGACACCTTGTTCCAACTGTTATCGTTGTTTTACCCTTTTGCAAATATATTTGTGTATATAAATTACTGGTCATTTGCATATATTATGATCGTTTATGCACAACCAAAGGACCGGTGATTTGCATGGCGCAAGCAAGCAAGTTCCTTTTATAACTGTGCACTACAACTCAAATGAAATTTTAGCTTTTAATACATGAAAATATTTCCACCCTCCCCACCCTCCCAGCGATGAATAGCATCAGGAGCACCTGATAGTGTCCAATCCCTAAGCGTGATATGTTCATGTAAGCTGTTGGTGATAAAATCACCTTATGAGCTGTGACGTCACTTAGAACTCTCTCGTATCTCATCCCAGACTCCCTTCAGATATAAAGAGAATGTTCAATAACCAGGCTGAAAGAAATAAGAGAACCTGGAATTGGTTACGTTTTGAAAGGACACACATAATATGACGAGGCTTTGTGTAATTTGTCATCGAGTAGGCCTTTTCGGACCAAATTCTTGAGTAACTAACCGTTTTCACCCGAACATCAGCAGGTATATTCTCCGTACTGTTCTCTCTATATATTTCCTTGGGTGATAACAAGGAGAATTTGCTTTGCAATCAAGGGTCTCTTTAGTTAGTGATTATTTTCTTAATCCTCGTGACCTTAATGTGTGATTCAGGGGTGACATTGTAAGGAGAATTTAGATGCTAGTCACTCTTAAGGGGGGGTCAAAAAGGGTTTGGAGCGCTGAAAAAATTGAGTTCCTACTTGTTTTTGTTTTCTTTCTCTTTTTGTTGTGAGTTTTTGTCGCTTTTTTATTCTCATTTCCTGCTCACCGAATAAATGGAAGAATGGATGAAAGAGTGACTAAATTTTTATTTCGGGGAACAAATGAGGTGATATTTCCACTAAGTGCATATCCCCGTTGCCAGGATAAAAATGTGTGAGGAAAAATCTTTCTCCAAATACTCTGTAGCGAGTGTAAGTAAATATTCCCTCATCGACACCTGAGGGGCATGTATATAATGTTGACACAGTCAAGGGCGACTGTGGTCTATCGGCAAATCTAAATGGATGGCAAGGAAATGCATCAGGTTCAGTTCCTAATGGTATAGAGATACTGTCTTTCCACGAATAAACGTGCACGCTCTAGTAAGCACTCTCCCTTCACGATAAGCGTCCACCCCCAGGCCCTAATGTCAAACAAGCGCCCCTCTCGAATAAGCGCCCCCTTCCTCCCTCACTTTCTAAAATGAGCATGGATACAAGGAAACCCTATTTTTATTGCAACTTTATTTATAACTTTTTTATGAAGCTTCAACTACAGCGGAATCAATACAGGAGAATAGTCTCCATTTCGTTAAGTCACATCCAATTATTTGTATCTCCGTATTGACTGTACGTCTGTAAGCAAACGATATTGCAGTTTTTGTTTTCTCGTTGAATATTTAGCCAAAACTTAGGTAACAGCTCTTTGAGAGAAAAAATTTAAGAATTTCCCCGCTCGATAAAGTGTCCTCCTTCCAATGAGCGCCTCGGCGCTTATTCAAGAAGATACGATACCGAATTTTTTGCAGGTAACGGGTTGTGAAGTAAAGGATGGATTCTGGTCACAATTTATTCATGATATGGATCTGAGATGCAGAATTTAGTTTTCTTGTGGACGTTTGGATTGATTCAGCTTCTCAAAAACCTCAACTCCGCCGAAGGATCGCCCATTTTTTTACCCAGTATCTAAGAAAAGCATCTTTTGCATATGAATAGCCGCCTGTGCAATTATTTGCATACTCTGCTCGGCGGTTTCCCAGGGCACATGGCTACGTAGCAACAAAACACCTTTTGGTGATATCTTTGGTCCACATCAACTCTCTTCGGCGCTGCACAAATATTGCTTAAATTTCTGCTTATACAGGTACGCGTTCCGCCCCTGCTTTGATTGTTTTAACCGTCTGCTCTACTAAATATCAAGTATAATTTTTTTTCATTTCGTCACACGGTGAGAAAAATTTCCGCAATAATTTTAGGTTCCATTACACAACGTAAAGCTTACCGTTCAGATAGGTACTATTTTTGTAGAAGCGTTAGTATTTCAGAAGATATTTAAGACTACAAAAGGAAGAGGAGCCTTATTTGCTGGTAATTTCGAATATCCCTTCAAGTGCTTTAGTTACACAAGTATACCGCGTTGACAGCTCAAAATATCGCTAAAATGATCGATACGGAGACGTTGAACAAGTTGTTAATAGGCAACCAAATAAAGTGAGCTCCTTGAGCGACTAAAGTCCATTTTCGATAGACGTGTGATTAAAATCTCGTTGGAAATTAAATCACTTACATAAGATATTTCGTGGAAGCAAAATTTGAAAGCGCAACCACTTCCGTGAACTAGTCAGCGGCAGCGAAAGTCAAAAGAAACCATGCGCATGTTAAATGAAATCATGACAATTCGATAATTTTGTAAGAAACCAAAATAGATCGTTTCATGCTGGATTTCTACGAATGAAATGCTCTGAGAGCGATTGGAAAATTTCTAAAGAGGGCGGCCAAATTAAAGATTTAGATGTCCGTAGACGACACAGGGCGTCCACTCATCGATTTTGCCTCGGAAGGCCGGCTAAACGGACCTGATGTAGTTCCGTATCACGCGGACCCGGCCAGTTACAGCACAGCCATAGTTGGCGGTTCTCATTACGATAGTAGGACTTCTGAACAAAGACCTTTACTCGGCAGATCGAGATCTCGAATGGACAGTCACAGTGATACTGAATACCAAGGAAATCACTTTGACGATCCAGAGTTTAGCAGCCTTATACAAGCCGCCGAACAAGCTATTGATGTAGGAATTTTGCCCGAACGTATTTACCAAGGATCCAGTGGTAGTTACTTCGTAAAAGACAAAGAGGGGGTAAGATTTTTCGTACATGGCTTTTCATTGATATTTCTCGTCAATACTCACCTTGTCTAGACGAAATTCCACGGAAAAATCTCAAATCGAAACTCACTTAGATATATGGTATTTGTTTTCAACATGATGGGTACTCGTCGATCAGCAAGACCCTATTTCCGGTTTCCCTTTCTCGACTAAACGCCTCACAAGTACATCTTATAATGTAAATCTAACGGTATTATTACAAAGAAAAATCGTTTGAATGTTCACCAATTTGCTTCTGATTGCTATCATCTTTGTTATTGTTAAGACATGAGAAATCTTACATTCATTATTAATGTGTAAAGATACACCAATATTTAAATTTTCCTTTTGATTATTATTATCCCTATTTTTGAACCAATTTAAGCTGAGCTGAACAGAGAAGGTTTTTTTTTACCAAAAAACTTTCAGCTATGTGTGCAAGGGAACTTAATGTACATTTCTTTTCATTTTTATTCATAAATTGCTTTCCATTACATTTGTTTATAACTGTATGTGGTTATATTTATATATTAATATAATTGGTTTCAAACTAGTCTTAGTTATGTTTCAAGGGGTAAGTTTCTAAAGAAACTGTGGTGCTGTGTTGGTTGGAGAGTTTAACAGGGTAATTTAGTATTATAAACTGAGTTGATAACGTAAATTGGCCATTGTAAAGAGTTTTAAACTCTGTGAACTATCCAAACCAAAATTAAGTCAAGGTTACATTTGCCTGTGCACATTTATTTGCATAATAAACTTTAAGGTAAACAGATGTAATTTTGAACAATTTCTCTTCAATACTTTTAAGTATTCTTTATGGTGTTTGCTTTCAAACTTTCTTATATGTGTGCAGGCAGAAAAAAGTATTGGAAGTTGACTACACTCATAAACTTTAGTTTCCAAATTTATTCTACAATTGTTTAATTATTGTCTGCAGAAGAAGATTGGTGTATTTAAACCTAAAGATGAAGAGCCCTATGGACATCTTAATCCCAAGTGGACAAAATGGTGTCACAAGATTTGCTGTCCATGTTGTTTTGGTAGAAATTGTTTAATTCCAAACCAAGGATATCTCTCTGAGGCTGGAGCAAGCCTTGTGGATCAGAAACTTGGTCTAAATATTGTTCCTAAGACAAAGGTAAGGTGACTATTGACTAACAAATGCAAATTTTACTCCTAATATTTGTATTATAAAATGTAATAGGTGTAAAGACTTAAAGATTTAAGAGGCTCAGTTGTTAGCATTCAAGTCAGGATTATTGGGTTGTGTTCTTTGGAAAGACACCTAGTTCTCTTGGTGCTTCTCTCCTCATAGAAATGTTAAAAAAATACATGTAGATTCTGGTGATACTCATTTATAGTGACTGTCATTTTGTTTGAATCAAACCAGTTAAGCTCCTGTAGTAGCATGCCACAGGACTCTAAATACTCCACTTACAGCGATACAGAGAAAAATGAGGGGTGTAAATAGCTTTTATTTTCATCCATAACTCAATGATATCATAGGATTTATTTATTTATTTTTATTTCCTTGACTTTTAGGTTGTCAGACTTGCTAGTGATACATTTAATTACACAGCATTTGATCGGGCAAAAGCAAGGTCAAAAAGGTTTGCTACAGAAAGATTTCCTGATACTCTAGGAAAACATGTGAAAGCAGGACTTCCTCCAAAGGTATTTCACTGAATGATTATATTGAATAAATGTGATAAATTGCTTTAATAGTTATTTTCTCATTTAAATCAATATAGTCCAAAGGAAAACAAATTATCAGGGACATGCTTTAACATTATGCAAGGATTTCAAAACAAGCAGATGACCACTGGAGTTCCATTAGCTACTTGATAACATGTTGCTGGTTATTCTGGTCAAAATCATCATTTTTAAGCCCTTTAAATGAACTTTTCATAGTCACCTACTTTTGCCAAGTCTGATGCCTACTTCAAAACATTTGGAAAACCCTCTTTATGACCATGTAATGGTTCAAACCACATATTACATGCACATGTAGATCAGTAATATTTTAAAGTAGGTTCAGTTTAATTTTCTTTCACGCATGATTATCAGTTGCAACTCCTGTGGAACAGACAGAAATGTAGACAAAACAAATTTAGAATTATTTAAACCTCAAATAGCAGGTGCCCTTTTATTCCACCATTTTGCACAATGTGGATTTTTCAAATAAGACAATGATTGCTGCTAGATCATCCTCCAGGGCCAAGTAAAGGATGAAAACTCCCTCATTCTTAAGTCTACATTTATTTTGAACCGGTTTTTTTTTTGCTTACAGTATGGATAATATACTTATGATTATATATTTTATATCTTTGGCCCAGACTGACTGACTGACTTGCTTATTGATAGAATCTTTCCTTGATATATTTTGTAACATGATTCCATAATTCTATTTGAGAACCCTTTTTTTTTTTGCACTCCTGGGTAAGAAATTTATTTGGTAAATGTTTTTAAATGATAAGATAGTTTATATAAATGTATATATATATATATATATATATTTAATAAATACTATGAGAGGAAAAAAGGACGCAACTACATTTCCTGACAAGCCTGTTTCGTGAATCGCTTCACTCTTCAGGGGTTTAAACCCCTCATAATATTTATTCTGCTCTGCTTCAACGTATTGAGCGCTGTTCTACAGGAAAATCAACTTGCAGACTTCCTATATATATATATATATATATATATATATATATATATATATAAGCAAACAAAATCTAGTGATTCAGATTGCCAAACCCACTCCTCCTCAACACTCTTCTTTGTCACATTCATTACTGGAATTACAGAATTCCTTAAAGTTACTTGGAATTAATTATTCTTGCAAGAATGGTAATGAATACAGGTAGCTTGCAAAAGTGGCTAATTGATTCATGAATTTCACTTGATGTTTCACCAAAATTTCAAATTTATTGCCTCTCCTTGGCCAAAATATACAATCACTGTCTACCTTGTGTGCCAAAAAAACTGTGTGAACATGATGTTGATGTTATTTTTTGGTTTTCAGCTGGGCTCGTTTCAGACATTTGTTGATGGTTATAAAGATGCAGAATTTCACCTGAGGAAGTTTGAAGTGGAACCTCTTCAAGCCATCACAAACAAAGATTTTCTGATACAATTTCAAAAACTTGTTTGTCTTGATTATATTATTAGGAATACAGGTATTCAACAATCTTAAATAATAAAATGTTATTTTATCTTTTCAGTTACAATATTGCAGTAATCAGTTACCTCACCCAGTAGTAGTATAGCACAATGGTGATGTCAAGTCTTTAACTCCCATGACCTAATTGTTAATTCTCCAATCTGGCTGATACACATTTCCTTGTAAATAAGTTACAAGAATTTCATGTTAAATCAAGATAAGAACCTGTAGCTGGCCAGTTTGAGTAATCTCATTATCTGTTTGCTGGATAATGTATGAATACTATAGGGAGAAGATACATGTTAATCACTTCTGGATGTTGAAGAGTTAATCTAATTACATGCATCAACCGTTAGCTTACTTTTTATGTATTGTCCATTTCTTTTTACCCATTTCAATTTTAGAATAATTCTTCATTGAATTTGACCCTATAAAATAATAATATTAATACACACTGTGAACTTAGGCAGGTGATTGTTTTAATATCTTTGATGGTTTGATTCTTAACTCTTTACCTCCCATGAGTGACCAAGAGACAATCTCTCCTTACAATATCAATACAATATCAAGCATAGAAGTGATAAGAATAAAGTATAATATCAATTAGGGGATTATTAATTGATCCAATACCAAATTCTCCAAATTTACATCATAAGAATTGTATGACAGACAGTAAGGAGAATTACTAATAAGATCTTGGGAGTTAAAGGGTTAATCTAATAACCTTTTAACTCTCAAGAGTGACTAAGACAAAATATCTCCTTATGATATCAATACCATATCAAGCAGACGAGTGATGAGAATAAGGAAAAATATCAGGGAATTATTGGGTGATCTAATACCAAATTCTCCAAACAAAAGTCATAACAATGGTATGGCAGATGTAAGGAGAATTACTAACAGGATCTTTGGAGCGAAAGGGTTAAGACAGGCCATAAAATACAGACACACATGAAATACAAACATATGAAAATAAGCAAACGTATACAAAATTGTTCAAACAAATTTTCTGACACAGCTTACTTCAAATGACCTACTATTTTTTTTTTTTTTTGTTCTGTCAGATCGGGGAAATGATAATTGGCTTATCAAATATGAAAGAACTCCAGAAGTTGATCGGCAAGTGGAAGGTGAAGAAGGGGTGAGTCTTGTCTGTAAACTTACTTAGGGTGATATAAATTGATTATTAGCACTTGATATTAGAACAACAGTGTTTGAGTCAGGGTGTGTGTACCTTGTCTTCTTCAGTGCTAATTTAAAAACTCTTGTTTAGATATATCTATTTATCTATTTTTTTTTTCAGGGTGACTGGGATTATGTAGACCCCCCAAAGATATATGTAGCTGCCATTGACAATGGGCTGGCATTTCCTTTTAAGCATCCAGACTCTTGGAGAGCCTGTAAGTTGACTTAAGCAGCTTGTTCAATCCCTATTAGCGCAAATTTCTTCCTTCATTGCACGTTCTTGGCAAGACGAATAACATCAATCCCTAAACCCTTTAATTCTAAACTCTCCCTTCTTGCTGCTGCACATTTCTTTGTAAATTAGTTAGAAGAATTTGATGTGAGATCAAGATAATATTTTCATCTGATAAGTTCGAGTATTCTCATTACATGTACCTGTTTGCTGGAAAGTGTATGCATATTGTAGGGAAAAGTTGTGTGTGTTAATCACTTCATGGAGTTAAAAGGTTAAGACAATTTGATTCTGAGCTTACTATCTAAATTTCCGCCTATAGTTATCAAAGGTGACTTTTCAAACCATAACTACGTTTAGTTTCTTGTTAACAATAGGTATCGTCACTCTTTGGCAGATATTTGTACGAGTTTGGAGTGCCATGCTGTAGTACCCAATCCATACTTACTTTTTCTTTTTACCTCTGGCAGATCCATTTTACTGGGCATGGTTAACACAAGCGAAGGAACCGTTTATGGATGAGATTTCTGACTTTGTATTACCTCAAATAGCAGATATGAACTTTGTTCAGGACCTCACTGAGGACTTATACCTACTCTTTCGGGTATGTATTTTTCGCTTTTAATTTAAAACCCGCTTCTCGAGGAATTCTGAAATACATGTTGTCTTTTTTTTTCCATTTTAGGAGGACAAAGGCTTTGATAAATCGCTTTTTGAGAGACAGATGTCTGTTTTAAGAGGACAGGTAAGCATACAATCTATTTTTTATTTCATGATAACTTCTGATTTACAATTAAGTTTTTCCTAGAAATAAACCGACTGAATGGTCATTTCTTTTCTTTGTCAGATACTAAACTTAACTCAGGCTTTGCGGGACAAGAAATCCCCTCTGCAACTTGTGCAAATGCCCGTAGTCACTGTAGAAAGAAAGAAAATTGAATCTGGAGATCGACTGAGAAGCCAAAGTCACGCATTCACTCAAAGCTTTCAACACCGACCGCCGTTTTTCTCATGGTGCTAACCAAAGAAGTGTCATGCGACGAACTTTGTAACCAGTGATTTTCTCAGTTGATTCAAACTGATGAATAGTGCGCTCTCTGAGATTTGTGGGGTAATGTCGTCAGTCTAACAATTGCGGGAAATTTGGCATCCAATAAGTCTTACTAGACAGCCATAATCTCGTTTTCCATTGGTGATATGGGACTGACATCATTGAATGTACAACCTCGGTCGCTCGTACTGGAAAAATTTGTGCGTACGTTTGGCAGAAGATCCAAAATGATTCAAAGCGACGAAAATGGTTTAGAAGTGTTGGATAATGTAATGAGGTTTATTTTTCTGATAGATGATTTCATAGTGGTTCCAATGGAGGAAAATTGCATTTATGTCGAACAAAAGTTCAGTTAAAATGAAACTTCTTAACAAATATACAAAGGTTGTAGTTCATATTTTGTAAATGATACAGCTTTATCAATCAGAAATTAAATGTATGACATTGCCTTTCACTACTGCGGTGGTGCATTCTTAGAGTACAATTCTGTGCAGAGAGTGAAATTGTGTAACTGGAAATTCAAATTATTGTTACAATAAGAATGAATTGTCATGAATAGTGCGCTCCCCGGCCAGCGACTATTAAAGCAATCTGAAAATTGATAGGTTAATCTTCGAAAACTATGTAGCCTCATTTGAGCATTGATGAGAACATTATGGTGATGTTTGTGGAGGAGGCACTGAATCGTACTGTCTAGAAATAATACCTCATTTTATAAATTAGTTAAATAAATGGATATTTGCAGTGCTTGATGCTTTGATATGGTTAAGCTAAACTTTATTAACCTACGCCGGTGTCTGGAACAAGTACCTCAGCAATCACTTTTCTTCTTAACTCGACCTTAACTTTATAAAAAGTAAAGTTAAAGTCTATCGTTATTATCGCGAATATCATTTTAAAGGACGTGAATATCTTGAGCTCGAAGTGTTTCAAAGGCGTGACATTACGAGCACCAAGGTTGTGGCTATTCCCATGATTACCTAAAATTATACTACCATATGGACAGTGGTGCACTGTCCTAATTTTGATACTCGGAAATACTCGGAAATACTCGGTTCCATTCAAGAATCATGCAATAGAGCTTTTGTTTTTGGTACTCTAATAGACTTCTGTCGAAGGCAGCTGCATTGGAGGAGTTTGAAACATAAACTGCATTGGGGGAGTGGGTTGCGTAATTTTTACACTTTGTGTAAAAGAGGTAACAACATCTCTTTTGGTTATAATCCACAGAGTTGTACAGTTCAATTTAGTACTCGACATTGACAGCTCTTCTACCCCGGTCGCCTTTAGCAAAATGAACGAACTTCCTGAACGTGAAATCCACAAACTCAAAGAGAGTGAGACAACTCATCCCCAAGAACAGACCGAATGTCCCTCCTAAGTCTCCTTCAAAGCAAAAAGAAGAAAAAATATATTTTAATTGTGTTCACAAGATTAGAGAGGATTCTAATTGGATCCTCGTAAAAGCATTCATAGCTTGTGCTTTTGCAGGCCTACGGTAAAAAAACAAAACAAAGAAGAAAAAAAAAACCAGAAGAATTATGAGTTATTATCGGGTAGAAATGAAATCGAATCGATTTTGGAACTCCAGTATCACACGTATTGTTTAAAACAGAACCAAGAATTCACAACCCAGGCCCCTGTTGTTCGAAGGTTGGATAACGCTATCCACTGAATAAGACTCGATAACACTATACGATTTGATATCACTTATCCACCGGATAGCGATTTATCTGTTGCATAGCGTTATCCGACTCTCATACAACTGGGCCCAGATCAATAGTTGGAAAAGCTAGGAAAAGAACATTGCTTCATTCATTCACCAAAAACGTGAAACTGACCAATCAAAGCCCAGGTCTCATAAAGCGGAGTCTGCGAAATGATGTCGACACTTAGGTCTTCAAAGTAGATGTCCAATGCAATAATGTTGTCACTGTGGGAAAGGAGAAGAATGAGATGTTCTCAAATGTTAGTAATAGAACATCACTTTAATTTAAACTCTAGCAATGAAAGGACAACTCTCGCAATGTTAACTAGGACCCTTGATGGGCGTCTAAACGATTGGAGCCTTGAAAAGCAATAAGATAACACAATATCGAAATGGGCAATTCACAGCTGATAAAATCAACTTGCAATTACAGCGAGGCAGGATGCTTCGTAAGGTCACGCGTGACCGGTAGTCATGATCTGAAAAAGACTAGCAGCAATTAATCGAAAGATCGCGCGGCGACTCAAATTGAAATTGATAAATTTCATTAATTACTGTAATTCACCACGATGAGTTAAAACGACCCTAGTGTTACAAAATTGAACTAAAACACCTACTCTATGTATTTCTCCCTCTCGGCTTTCGTCATATTCAACAGAGGTTCGTAAATCGATCGATCGACTGATGATTTCTCAGTCCCATTAAGGAAGGACATCAGATGTTGAATCAGAGCACCCCTCTGTAATCCACTGTACGAGAATGAAGTCTTGTACTCAATGTGATTGCAAGGCTCGGGACATTCTTTCTCACACTTCTTCTTTTCATCTGAATTGCCAAACTCCTCTGTAAGCAGACATTACTTTTCATTAGTGCCATAATGTCTTGTTCATCCTCTACTTTTCTAGCTCTGATAGAAGATCGATTTGATGACAAAGTGGGATTGTAGTCCAGGTGAGAATTTCATAAATGTATTTATCCAAGCATCAATAAATAATACCTAAGCCCCTGCATCATACTCAGATTTAAGGAAGGGTCGATGGCAAGAAGTAAATGCTGGATCCTCCATTCCAGTAAAAATATGTTGATGTAACCTTGGTGTGGTTATGCTAATAAGAAGCAATCCTAAAACCCTTTTATTAAAGGGGGTATAGAGTGCATGGGTACATGTTTTAACGAACTTGATTTGAGGAACAGAATGCCATACTGTAATCCTTTTTGTGCTAAGAAAGGTACTATTACACGAATTTGACTTCATTTTTGATCTTTAAATTGGTTGTATATCATATTTAGCCTTGTTAGGAATAGATTGACTTACCAAGGGATTTGTAAACACAAAGAGCTTCTTCTATCGGCGCACATAAGGGAACTGCAGGATCAGCTGAAAAAAAATTATAACAATAACAGCGTAAGAGCTATACTCTGTGGGTCCGACCTCTTTCAAAATTTGTTACGGTGCGCTATATTCTCTTATCATATTAAAATTCATAGGCTGGGTGTGAAAAACAAAACGATACCTACCTTTGAATTTTGTTGATGTGCAGTTGCAAGATTTGATTGTGAACTTATTGCGACATTTTATAAGACAGGCCTGTTTTCTGTAAGCAATCTGAGAGGCGCCGTTGAACGCTTCAAGGGTTCCTTTTCTACAGTTAGTGCCATACGGATGTGGCAGATTTGTAATCTGTCAAGAAAATTCATGACGATGATATTATTCAACGAACTCGTGATTTTCACCAAAAAATTACACGGACCAATAAAAGGCAAAAAGTGCGGGATAGTCCGTCTGCTGACTGACTGAGTTATCATGACTGACTGACAGATTGACTAGTAGACGACTAATCAGACAGGCTGGCCCGCTGAGTAGTCCGATTCACTGACTATCTGACGAAAGGTTTATCGACCTGGCTGGCCATTCTAACCAGTAAGGAAGAGACCAGCCATCCGCATGGTTTCTCTTTAACTATCCAAGTGTGGCACAAGCTCACTCTCTCTCACAAACACAATAACTCGATAATTTCAATAATATTTAAAAAGACAACGTGGGGTTTTTGAAGTTTGTTAGGAATAAGCTACGAAATATCCTAAATGGGTAGAAAGCTGTTTTTGGAAATATTTCCAGCACTTACGTTTCTCCTTCGTATGGCACAAGTCGTAGACATCCCTGGTGGAACAGCAATTCCAAAATCTTCCACAATGGGAAAGCTGTTTTGGTCGTGAATAAGAATAATAATCCCAACAGAAGGCCAAATCAAATTTGGTATATAGCTCTCGCGTTCGATGTTAAGTCGTAGCTTCAAACCGTTTTGTTGGCCGGCAAACGAAGCATTTTGCTCTGGCTTGCCATTTTCTGCTGCATTGAATGTGTAGCATTGTGCTAAAAGTGAATTGAGGAAGCTGGTAAAATTGCTCGCGTCGCATTTCTTTCCATTTATGGAACAGGAATGAAACAGGTGACCATTTGGTAAAAGCATGTCTTCAATTTGATGACTAAATTTCACTGCGTAAGGGTTGGTTTCGTTAGCCATTTTTGGGCGATAAAAAAGTTCTCGATTGCGTTCTTTAAAGTCAAACGTCGAAATATCATCTGATCTCGTCGTCATGAGAGATATATCTGCAATTTTTCTTTCGATCACGCCTTCACTATAATGACCTCTTGCGATTTGCCTAAATCGTCGAGTGTTAAAGACGTTGAGATTGCACAAGGTTAATGCAGGGAACGGAAGCTGGTTGCCATCTCTATTAAAGTTTGTTGTCATTTTCGTGTTGAAAGGATAAAGGGAATATTCCTTTAAACAAACATAGACTTGATAAATACAGACACCGAAGCATACTACTATCATCCCCAACCAAACCAGTCTTCTAATAAAGCCCTCACAGAACAAAAATTTGGCTCCGTGAAGTGTGGTATCTTGAGCGAATGATCTCAATCCTTCGAAATTACCATTACTTGTGTTTTTCTCAACAGCTTGGAGGTTTTTGATTCGTGCTTTGCGTTCGTTTAGGGCAGTATGCCCTTCATGGGTAATTTCATTTCTTTCGTTTGTCGCTGTCATTTCCAGAGTCATTCTCCTTGAGAAAACTTAAGATGCCTACTTCGAAGTAAATTCAGGCAGAGAGATTTACGATTGGCATATATAAAGCGATGATAGTCAGTGTTCGACAGTTTCTCCTCATAAGAATGCAATGAAGTCGATATCGAGTCCGATGGAGACGAGAAATAAAATCGATGTTTGTTTTGGAGATTATAGCACGAATTGGAGGCAGATTGCGTGCAGTTTAAATTACTTATGCACCAAGTTTAGCATAATACGCAAAAATTCACTTCGAATTGAACAAACAAACAGTGAAACCTTTATCGACCCTCTCAGTAGGAAATTGCGTTCTTAGGCAGCTCTTTATTTCATGTAAGTGTTATGCATTATGTTTCATTTCCCTTTTTTTATTTCCCTGTCCCACTACATAGGACTGATTTTGAAAAATCTATTTTATCGACACCAGTCTATCTTGTAGCTTTTGATCACTGTCAGCTTTAACTTTTAAATGTTATGGAATTAATTATAGAACACGAACTTAACGGTGATAAAAACAGTTGAAGTCACCAACTGGAGAGACCTAAAGTGTTTTCATAACAGCCTTAACTGATAGCATTTCAAGATTTCATTATGGATAAATTCCTCTTTAGCAAATATTGATTCGTGTGTGAACAAGATAAAATTCTCATCTCGAACTACCATCAAACGACTTGTAAAGTACTAAAGGTGTTTTTCGCCTGTTCCCTTTTAAAATCAAACTATGTTTAAAAAGGAATTTGTGATTGGGAACAGAGTCACAACAAGACACATGCATCAGTTTGCATAATTAATGCAAATTTTTTAAAATTTTAGCACAAATGTAAACATTTCCTTTGTGGCGCTCATATTTCTTTAATGCGTCAGTGAAGTCACCTACTCAAAGATAAAGTAAAACATCAAAAAAACGATTTGACAACAGTCATGCAACATGAAAGTCAACATTTTCCTGCTAATCCCACAAAAGATATTGACATTGATATATTGATATCGACAGAGAATTCTTGTGTATTACGAAACATAACGAACAGGAAATAATACAAGGGCTAAAAATCTTTGTGTTGGAAAACAATTTGGGAAACTGCTCCATAATAAGTTACGCTGATCTTAAAAAAAAAATACCTCCACTCGTCGCGCGAATCTAAACAAGTACATACATAAAATTTTTTTACAATAATTGAAAACTTATTGTTGAATAAAAAGACGAAAACTTTCTTTGGTCGCAAAACAATGTGGGGAAGATCGCACAATAAGTTGTCCTTGAACTCAAAGTAACTCTTTCGACCAGTGAGATTGAACATGGCCATGTTGAGAATAAGGTTCCATCAAATATATGTTTCTAACTTCTTTTTTAGCTTGAAACTTAAAAGAAGAAAATTAGGGCTTGTTTTTAGCACAGATTGCAGCCATAGTCGAACAAAATTGAAGTTCTAGATTGATATAAAAACTTTTGCAAAGGTTGATAAAGGTTGATTATCAAGTTGTACTCTAGTATCTGGACATGGCTACGGTCGTCGGTCTAAAACATTTTGGAATAATTACCTTTAAACTAGTGTAGGAAACTAGATTAGTAGGCCACCCAGCTCCCAGCTGCTGGGTGGCCTGAGTGACTAACCATCTGGATGAAAGGTTCTAGATCTGGCTGACTGTCCTGGCTGGCTAGAATTATCGGTAAGGACGAGACTGGTTGCAAAGATGGTTTTCCTTTCACTTTCTAAATGCAAACCTAATAAATGTCACCTACACTCGCACTTATTCTATTTTCTCGTAAGTGTTGGCAAGGGTATCTAGGGCTTTTGAAGTTTGGTAGGAAAAAGCTACAAAACATTTTGCTAGGTAAACAATTTTTAAAAATCTATTTTTAGCACTTACGTTTCTCCTTCGTATGGCGCAAGTCGTAGACATCCCTGGTGGAACAGCAATTCCAAACTCCTCCACGATGGGGAAGTTGTTTTGGTCGTGAATAAGAATAATAATCCCAACAGAAGGCCAAATCAAATTTGGTATATAGCTCTCGCGTTCGATGTTAAGTCGTAGCTTCAAACCAGTTAGTTGGCCGGCAAACGAAGCATTTAGCACAGGCTTGCCATTTTTTGCTGAATTGAATGTGTAGCATTTTGTGAAAAGTGGATTGAGGAAGCTGGTAAAATTGTTTGCGTCGCATTTCTTTCCATTTATGGAACAGGAATGAAACAGGTGACCATTTGGTAAAAGCATGTCTTCAATTTGATGACTAAATTTCATTGCGTGAGGGTTGGTTTCGTTAGCCATTTTTGGGCGATAAGAAAGCGCGTTGTAGCGTTCTTTAAAGTATTCCTTAGAAATAGCTTCTGATCTCGTGGTCAGGAGAGATATATCTTGAATTCGCCTTTCGATCATCACTTCACTAAGATTTCCTCCTAAATATCGTCTGAATCTTCGAATGTTGAAAGGATTGAGGTTGCACAAAGTGACAGCAGGGAAGGGAAGCTGACTGTTATCTGCACTAAAGCTTGTTGTCATTTTCGTGTTGAAAGGATAAAGGGAATATTCCTTTAAGCAAATGTAGGCTTGATGAATACAGAAGCCAAAGCATGCCAATATCATGCCCAACCAAACCAGTCTTCTAAAAAAGCCCTCAGAGAACAAAAATCTGGCTCCGTGAAGTGTGGTATCCTGAGCGAACGATCTCAATCCTTCGAAATTACCATTATTTGTGTTTGGCTGGAGGTTTTTTGTTTGTGTTTCGCTTTCGTGGAGGGCGGCTTCCCCTCCATGAGCGATCTCGTTTCTTTGGTTTGTTGTTGGCATTCTTCTTTAGAATAACTGATAAATCTGCTTAGATGTAAATTCAGTCTGAGAGACTTACATCTGGCAGAAAGCGTTGACATTCAGTGCTCGATGGTATCTTCCTGGTATGAATTTTGTGATGTTAATATGGAGATCGAGTCTAATGAACATGAAAAATTAAATCGTCAGTTGCTGTGAAAGTTTTAGCAAGCTGGGAGTCAGATTGCATACAGACTTGAAACACGAATTACTTACGCAGCAAGTCCTAAATGTAAAATGCGCCTTAGTTATGACAGTTTCATTTTCAAATTTAACGAGCAAATAATGAAACCTTTATTGACTTTTCTGAAAAGGAAATGAGTTCTTTTCGAATTTCCACTTTTGCATAAAAGTCAGTGCTTTCGACGATATATATGACACTAATAAAATATATTTTTTAACATTTTTAGGGATTTTCTCCTCTTAGCTGCAAGTTTGAATCAATTGCAGTTAATTTTTTCTCTTTCTTTCCTTCTACATAAGGAAATTTAAATTGATTTCGATCAACCTAATTTAAATGACACTAATCTATATTTATATACTTACAACTTCAGCTTCAGCTTTAATATTTAAATTTTATGAAATTAATTTAAAAACAGAACACAGCTCAGTCCACTCGCTGAACCGAGCTAGATTCTTTTCATAAGAGCTGATATCATTTTGGTATTTTTAGAAATTGCTTCTTTGGCAAAAAGTGATTCCCAAATGATTTGAACCACATTAAATTCTCATCTCTCACCTGTGACAGCACCAAACGCTTTCTTCGCCCATTGCTTTACTAAAATTAAACCTTATTTGAAAAGCATTGTGATTGAAAACTCAATAGAAGACACATGGAGAAGTTCACATAACTAATTTGTCATATTTTCAACCTCCTAATATACAAGTAAACATGTCCTTTGTAAATCATTATAAAAGTATTTGACAAAAGTCATAGAAGTTGAAGGTCGAATTTTTCCTGCATTTTACAGGGAGTATTTTGATTTCAAGATAAAGCAATTCCTGTAAGAAATTTTTCGAAACGAGATTTAACTAACGAGTAGGAAAGACACGAGGGCTTAATTAAAATCTTTGTTTTAGAAAGCAATTTAGGGAAGGCTCCATAAAAAATTATGCTGATTTGAAAAAAATAAAAACTTCCTCCACACATGGTCTTAATCTAAACATAGAATCTTATTGTTGAAAAATTTATCACCCAGAACAGATCGACAACATCAGACGTGGAAAAAAAATAGTTTAAAAAAAGTTTATAAGGAATAGGAAAAACTACAATGTTCCTAACATTTGCTTGCAAAAAAATTTAGAGAAAATCAAATAATTGTAAATACTGATCTCAAATTTGCTCTATTCGACCAGTTGACCTAAACGTGGAATACGGTTGTTCTTTCATTTGAAATGGTTTTTAAGATGAGGCGCGTGGATATGCATGATTATTACAAATTCATTGAGGCCAGCCGTTGTAATACTGGTTCCCATACATAAGCAGAAGACGGTTTTAGCTGTGGAAGAGTTCGGTACTGTTATTCAACCGGGAAAGAAGAGAAAGAAAAATGATAGGGAAGACAGTGCGTTGGCGGGCGAGCCAACAAGCCAGTCATGCGCAGACAGACAGTCAGTCAGCTGATTAGTCACCAGTCCACTAGTCCTTCATTTAGTCCCGTAGTTCGTCATTCAGCCCACCGGCCAACCACTTCACTACTCAGTTTGTCAGTTAATCAGTAGTCAGGCAGTAAACGAGTCACCGTGTCCATCTGCCAGCCAGCTGACCAGTCAGTCAGTCGTTTACTCTGCCACCGACCTGTCAGTCGGTCAGCCATCCAGCCAGAAAGCCAGACGGTCATGATCAATCGTTCAGTCAATAAATCAACCGCTAAGTTATAAGTTATACTGACTCTTCTAGCAAGTTAAAACAACAGCAACTTTCCTCTGGATCTTAGTCACCTTCCAAAACTTTTTGTAATGGTTGTCTGGAGGCCGTCAAATTTAGAACATATGATTTTTGCCATTAAGTGCAGAAGATGAAAAATACAGTAAGGGAATCAGCTTAAAGTCTTTAGAAAACAGTTTGACAAAAAATACCCAATGAATTACGTAAATATAAAAAAGGCTTTCACACCACACGCGAGTCTGAGCATGGAATATATTCTAGTAGTCATAATGTTGCAAAGCAGGATAGAATGACATCAACTCAGGTGGAAAGGAACTTTTGATTAATACAAATTTATACCGAAAAAAAGAACAGTTACATAAGTCCATAATCTTTGCTCTCGAACAATTAGGGGAAAATTGCAAAATAGGATATCCTGATTTCAAGGTGACTGTTTATGACCAGGGAGACTAAAAATGGAATACGTTTGTTCGTTCACAGAGCGTTTCAAGTAACAGACTGCGTGCGCGTGAAATATAGTGTAACCGTTAGGAAATTTAGCGTTTCCATAAGCGTTCTCGTGATAGATTTCGCTTTCCCGTGGGCGAAGAAATGCTTTTGCGGTGGCGCTTGTGATAGAGGATTTGCTCGCAGATTATAGCTCTATTGAGAGTATACCTACAGGTAATTGGCTCTAAAGAGCAGCATGTGCTCGGCGGGGTAGCCTGAACTAATTTCCTAGTATAAGTAGCTTTGTTCCATTTACCAAATTAACAAAATCATATGCAGAAAACTTGAAAATATAGCTGGATTTTGATTCCAAATAAGAGTAAAAACTGAAAGGAGTAAAAGGTTAACAGTGATAAGAAAATTCCTTATTGGCGGACAAACAAGGAGAACGTGATACATAAGGCCACCTAGATCGCTTATTATTGCTAACAGCTCGATGTTTAAATCTTTTATATTGCGCTCGGAGGGGGGGGGGGGGGTTCGATTTGAGTAAAGAAGATACCAAACAAACTGCACACACAAAAACGAAATGTGAACAGCTTCCAAGGCTCGCCATAATTGAATTTGCCGTATTCTTACTGAAGAAGAAAACATCAAGGAATTCATCTTCATTTTTGGTAAATTAAATAAGATACGTTTAAGTTTAGCTGATAAGAAATGTATCCATCATTTATAGATGATTTCTGGCATTAACAGAAAAATTACGTAGAGAAATCGTGCTGACTGTGACAGAGAGCTGTAATTACGTACAACCATCACTGCGGCAACCTTCATCTATAAAACCTAAAACGACTTGGGAGGTCGTCAAGTCTTAGTGGAGGCACTTAATAGAAACGAGAATTCCTCTTTAGACACGTCTTCGACCATTTCGTTTAAAAGAACTCAGCCGCTTAGAATTATAATGGGATTTCTTAAACGCAAAATGGATGCTGAGGGAGTCGAAGATGGAACTAGTTTAAGAAGAAGCAATGTCGACATCAGGGATTCAGAAACAGAGCATCGAGATGTAGAGGGATGGAAGTCGTTCGCAGAGGACACAACTCTACACGGTGCCAGGTTTTTCTTCGCAGATAACTTTTTCAGAAGACTGCTTTGGATTGCTGCAGTTTTAGGGTACGCAATTTTCTGCAACTACCAAGTTTACACTTTTGTAAGACACTTTTATGAGAGACCTTTTAATACAAAAATAACGTTCGACAGAGATAACGATGAAAACGCATTTCCTTTCCCAGCTGTGACTCTATGTAATCTTAATGCACTCAACAAAAGAAAACTCATAAAGTCACTCACGAATGTTTACGGCCAAGCGACTGTCGATAAAAAGCTTCAGGATATGTATCTAATTATAAGAAGATCGAAAGCGGCGTTTACCAAAGAATTCAAGGAGCGCAATCCAGAGTTTTTCCATCGTTCTCAAACTGTCAACGAAACCCAAACGAACTTTTGGATAACTGGTGATGATATGGAAGATATGCTTTTACCAACCAGCCCAGAATTCAGTTCTTGCTCAATCAATGGCAAACAGTGCAACGCTCATAACTTCACAAGCTCACTGAGCGCCTTTCATGGTTTGAAATGTCATACCTTCAACTCTGCAGAGGGTGGTAATCCATTGTTGAATACTACCGTCGCTAGTCTTCCAAGTGGCTTGAGGCTTCGACTTAACATCGAGCGAGACGAATATATCCCAATTCCATGGAGGCCTTCGGTTGGAATTTTGCTTCTCATACATGAGCAGAAGACGTTTCTACCTGTGGAAGAGTTTGGCATTGTTATTCAACCGGGAATGTCTAGTCTATGCGCCATAAAAAGAAGAAAGGTAAAGAGGAAAATCAGGGGCTAGTCAGTTAGTAAGTCAGACAGTCCGTCAGTTAGCAGGTAATTAAGTGTTAACAACTGGGTTGAAAACGTAAATTAGCCACCGTAAAGGGTAAAAAAGCTGACGTTTCGAGCGTTAGCCCTTCGTCAGAGCGATTAGAGGAATTGTGGGTTGTGTGTGGATTTATATGTAGAAAGTGGAGCTACGCCATTGGTGGGAATATGGCGACAAGAAAACAGGAATTAATTAGTTGAATGAAAAGCGCTCGTTGATTCCGTGGGGATTAAGGGTGCCGATTTGGAATATAAATTTTTTGTTCTAGTGTTTTGCGGCTTTCCGAACTGCCTAGATGTAAGGAAAGGCCGCAAACTTCCATATGCTGTTTAGAATGATAAGGAAGATTAAAGTGTCTAGCGACGGGTTTGGATGCGTCCTTGTCATTTCTTTCCACATCGCGGAATCGGTCACCCAGTCGTCTTCCTGTTTCGCCGATGTATAACTTATTGCAATAAGTGCAAGTTATGCAGTAAATAACATTGGCGGAGGTACACGTAAAGTTTTACACTTTCAAATCGGCACTTCCAAATCGGCACCCTTAATCCCCACGGAATCAACGAGCGCTTTTCATTCAACTAATTTATTCCTGTTTTCTCGTCACCATATTCCCACCAATGGCGTAGCTCCACTTTCTACATATAAATCCACACACAACCCACAATTCCTCTAATCGCTCTGACGAAGGGCTAACGCTCGAAACGTCAGCTTTTTTACCCTTTACGGTGGCTAATTTACGTTTTCAACCCAGTTGTTAACACTAAATTACCTGCCATACTCTCCCACCGACGCAGCACCACAGTTTCTTTAGAAACTTACCCCTTTATTCAGTCCGTCAGTTAGCTGACTACCAGTCATTTGGAGACTCAGTCCTTCATTCAGCCGAAAGGCTGGCCAGTCCGTCTGCCAATTACATTAGTCAGTCAGTTACATAGTTAATTGGTCCGGCTGTCGGTTAATATGTAACCCAGTCGTTCAGTCCGTCAACTAGCCTGCATCCAGCCAGTCAGCCAGTTGGTCACGGTCAATCTGTCACTCAGCCTCCCACCAGGTTAGGAGAACAGCAAATTCCCTTTCTCCCAAACCTTTATTTTTTCAATGGATGTGGGCAAGCTGTCAAATGTAGAACATATCATGATTTTTGCAGATAATTAACTTGGAGAAGCCGTATGCAACAAACTGCAGGAAAGGATCTCTTAAGTTTGACAGGGACTTTGCCTACACAAAACCTGCCTGTATGGTAAATTGTCGCAACGATTATATTATCAAAGCTTGCGGTTGCACTGTAATAAAATTTCAAGGTTAGTCCCACTATGTCTTTGATAATAACGCAGAAGTTTTTATTCAGAGTTTGTTATTTGCACCAAAGCAACGTAGCAGGCGTTCACTTTTAGTAAGTCCACTTTTTAACTCGTGAATTGCGCGCATGCGTATCGTGTGTTTTTCCTGTGTTAAGCAACAAAAGATGCCGGCGACTGACGAAATTACAAGTTATCACGAAAATCAAATAACACCTAAACAAACAATTTTAGCTACCGATTTTCAGTGAATTTTTAAAGAACAGTTTTCTTTTAAGTTTCAAGACAATTTGAAGATTCAAAATACACATTGCGTACTAAAATGCGAAAGTTATACATCACAAAATTGATAAATAGGCCTGAAATGAAATTCTATCTTGTTATTGATTATACGTTGCCTAGCACGTGACTAAAATCTACCCAGGCGGAGATCCAAAATGACGGTGGCAGTCTTGGCTTTGTTATATCACTCAAAACTCGTTCCCGTTTGTCTCATTTGCTAAAGAGGGAATCGTTAATGTTTCATCAAGACAGTATTGCCTTGAGTTTCTAATATTTACAATGATAGACAGTAAATTTCACTTTTCACCCTCATTTACTTCCAACCTTTTCTTTTGAACCAGAAACAAAAATGATATAAGTTTAAAACACATGACATCGTCCACCCTTGTCAAATTTAATAGCATGATCATTTCAATTGTAATGCCTTCTTATCCCAACGTTACTTTGTTTCGTACTCTAGATATGACAATTAACCACAAAATTCCCTAAACCAGATAACATTAAACATAATCCAAAAAATCATGTGTCAATTCACGAGTTTGCTCACAGAGCACTTTGATTACATCTTTAAACGTGAGACTTGAGAAGCCCTCGTTTTAGTAAGCTGCGCGCCTGCCCACCATTTTAATTTTTAAAAAAGTTGAATAACTGAATTTCAACGGCTCTTGTGCAGTCAATCCTATACTTGACGATGGATTCGGCTTAAGTTGCTTAAATATCATTCGTAAAACCCAAAAGATCTCATGAAACGATAGCATAATAGGCATAATGGACAATTATTTTCTCTTCTTTTTAACAGCCAATCGACCAATCCCAATTTGTGCAGTGAATGACTCAATTCTGTGCGTTTTCCCATCGTATGGTATGTCAAATTTAATATGCTCAAAGCAGCCTACAACTAGACAATGTGGTTGTTATTAAAAAAGAAAAGATTACATCCAGTTATTTTGAGGATCACATTTGTTGCTTTTTTTGAAACCAATCCTAACCAATGTTGATGGGAATTTGAATTTACTTCTCGTTGATAGGCTTAAGTTGCATCAATATGGAAATAAAAATCTGAAACCCAGGCAATTAGTCCTCAGTGGTTGATACCAATTGGTCATGTTTTAGCAGAAGTCGATGAGCTCATTGGATGTTTATAAAAATGGATTTATTCTTACAGCTTTCTTACAGTCTTCTTAAATCTCTGGATTAAAACTTTTTCCTATGCTGTCAACGATGTCGGCTCATTCTTTGCTGTGAGTGTAAGAAACGAAGTCCAGTTTGATCAGAAAATTTCTCTGCCTTGAAGCGTACACTGAAATACCATCGAAAATAAAAGCATCAAACCAAATTAAAGAACTCTAAGCCCAGGAAAAATTAATAACAGAAGCATAATGATTTATTCCCGTCGCAGAAAACTTTGGTACTTCCAGTGAGAAGTCTGCCTGCGAAAGGAAGTGTGGCGAGCCATGCGAATATGTGGAGTACAAGACATCTCTTTCCTACAGTGGACTTCAGAGGGACGCTTTCATTGAACAACTCATGTTCTCTCTTAACAACACTGAGAAATCTGGTATGGAACTCGAGATGTACAAACCCTTTTTGAACATGACCGAAGAACAAAGGGAGAAGTTTGTAGAGTAAGTAAATGACGGTAATAATGTTTTCCGTGGTAGCAGAATATGTTACCCATGAAATCAAAATGAAAACTGTTACTTAATAATCATTTGATTTTTTCCCCACAGCGAAAACATCATCTCTCTGGATATATATTTTGAAGACCTGAGCGTTGAGATCGTTGAGCAAAAACCTGTTTTTGAAACATGGGCTTTGATTGGTAAGTAGTGAAATTATTTGAAGTTTTTACAATTATCTCTCGGTGTGTTGTGCCTTTGTAAGCGCATGTTGATAAATGGCCGGTAAGAATTCCGATAACCCATACTTAGTGACCTAGTTGTGAACATCACGACGATCTTTTCATTATTTGATATTCCCAATGTCTTAAAATGTAGGGAATCTCTGCACCCGCTCTCTGTGAAGACAAAAAGTTATAACTTTGAATTTGATGAAACAGTGTAGTATGCATGTATGTCCACTAATGTTAGAACTACATTAACGAAAGATCTTTCATGTCTTTATACCCCAACGTTTTCTTGCTGGAAAAGCGTTCATGTGCCATCAAAATTCTTGTAAATTATGTTCAGTAAAGAAAAAAATACTTTACTACAGCAGCCATTAAATTTAGTTCACATTATTTCATCACTCAGACACCACTTTAGCACCAAGCTGTCTACTGTTGTTCCACTAGGAAACCTGGGTGGTACTTTTGGTCTTTTCCTTGGAATGAGTTTCCTAACTCTCCTGGAATTCTTCGATTTTGTCTTCAGGAGAATTTTGCACTTGTTCAAAGCAACGAAAAACAAGAAAAGCTTAGCATCTGACAGATAAACCAAAAATGATGCTGCTAATTGTTACTATGACGTTCGCTCCTGTGTACAGACTGTGTGATATTGTGATCTGTCTGATCACGGACAGACTGTGTGTTAGAACTCGGATTTTAATTACACTCTTGGCGAAAGAGGACTCGACTGTTAATTAAATGAACGCGCACAGATTACCACTGTGTTTTTTTAGTTCTTAACTTATCTTCATATTTTTTTCATTTAAATGATTTTAAGATCGTAATGTTTGTAACCTGACATCGGGAACATTGGTTCGTGAACATTCACAACAGCTAAGAATCTTCCGCAAAATTTCGGTGAACGCCTCTCGAAAGTTCCGCATTCGAGAGCCATAAATCACGAAATTCATTGCGGAGTTTGAAAGAGCCAAGGTCCTGATCCATATAAAAGCCATACCGCGATCATTCACCAGTAGCTTCCCAGCTGCAAAAAACGTGGCAAAAAGTGGAACCCAACAAGCAGTGAAAACAACGATCACAATCGCCAGTGTAAAAGCAATGCGAATCTCGACGCGGAAATTCTGGAAGTTGCCAGCATCATTGGAAGGATAAGCTCTGATCTGTATTTGTTTTTTCCGATGTTTGACCAGCGATATTACTATCAGAGAGTACGACACAAACACAGCCATGTAGCTGAGGCTGAAAATTCCGAATGCAACGAAACGTTTGGGAAATCTCTTCGGAATAATGGGGTTCAAAACGGGAACCACAATCGGTGATATCCAAGACTTTAGAAGCATCGCCTTCCAACCACGATTCTCCATGATACCTTTGTAGTGCAGAGGGTACAAAATAGCGATAACACGATCAACACTGATAGCCGCAATATGTTCTACTGAAGCAGAGCACGAAAGCATGGATAAGATCACGTATGGGCGTTCCAAGTCCTTTGCACAGTCATTAAAAAAAGCTCTTCTGGTGAGGATTACCAGAAATAACGGTACGCACACCATAGTCACAAGTAAATCAGCTAGGGCCAAGCTGAATAGAAGGAAGTTTGCAGGTCTGCGAAGGCGAGGAACTTTGGCAACCGCTAAACAAACCAGTAGATTCCCAAGCGTTCCCGCTATACTCACGATAGTGTTTATTGAGATAAGGGCTAATCCATGAGACAGAGGAAGTGAACAGTTTTCTACTGAAATGCCAGAAGCCAAAAAGTAGCTGGTATTCCCCAGAGAGTGATTCATCGTTGTGATTTCGAATGAGCAGCTTGGTACTCTGTATGAAAAATGATTAATGTCGTGCTTATTTTTCATTGCAGCTAATATTAATCTTGAGGAAGCAATATCACTTTCAAATTTTTGCAAATCGGAATTTTTAATGATGGTACGGTAATCAATTTTTACATCCTTAGCCATTCATTCTCTTTCGTGTTTTATTATTAACTTTTATATCTTGCCAAGGAAACATTTTAAATTTCCATCAAGTTGAGGGCACTTTTGAGTTAAAACATTGCTTTGGATCTTCCTTAACCTCTAGACGTATATAAAATTTCTCTTTGAACTATCAATGCAATACTAATAACAGAACGGCAATACGAAATAAACCTAAAATCTGAAGGAAAAGTGGCATTATGGCATTAGGGATCGATGAGATCTAAGATGTCTACCTTTCTTTTACATATCATCGTTATTTTCCTTTTTAAAACAAAAATATTATCTAGGTCTTAGCTTCGACATCGTGTCGTCTTGTTTATGTTATTCCGCATTACACAGTAAGTAAAGCAGTATTACGTTGAGGTAACAATAATATTAAGTGCCATTAGCCACAAAAACTATTTTCATTGTCGTGTGATATTAATCTTTGGACAGTTCTCAAGTATGATTCTGCGAAAATACTGCGTTTCCAGTTGCCACTCATTTAGAGAACCCAGCTTAGGATAAGAGGATCTGGTATGAGACTTCGTCATCATTTTTCTTTTACTCTGATCAATGATAGACAATCAATATCAATATAATAATAATAATAATAATAATAATAATAATAATAATAATAATAACAATAATACGACACGCGTTGTGAACACCACACCACAGTCTTAGCGCTCCGTAAAATTCGTTCTAAACCGCTCTTCTATTGCGTATTTTGGAAATTCATTCCAACTTAATCGTAGTTAACATCAACTACATCCTACTGCCCACTCGAAGTGACTCAAGAAATACAATTCTTTGCAAAATGAGCGCGGAAAGAATCCAACATGGTAGGACAAGATGGACGGAGCAAAAAGATGAAGCCAAACAACTACACACATCGGAAGAATGCCTTACGAATGAAAAAGGAAGAAAGACTGCAATCATGCAGTTAACGTAAAAGGTTTGGAGCGTGAAGGAATACGGAAATCTTGGAAAAACAACACTTTTATGATTACTAGTAATGACGCACAAATTTATCATTCAAAATTAATTTATGTTAGCGAATTAGCGGTGAAATTCAAAAGGCTAAACACATTATACATGAACATATTGATCCGTATTTTAAAATAGTAACCTTTAATTTTTGTGCCGAAGTTTAGATCCTTCGGTGGATTTAAAAAATACACGAGTGTACATAAAAAAAAAAATTTCCACAAAAATATACAAATCCTGCTCGATTTATAAGAATGTTATTTTACTTTCTAATTCTTATCTATTTCTACCTGTATAGAAGATTTATGTGTAGCAACTAGAATCTTCATTTCTGTTTATCGTCAAATAACTGCGAAATTATTTTATATTGTTTTTTCTTTCAATTGAACAACTGTTGTATGTTGTGTTTCTATTAAATTAAGTTCACGTTGCTAGTTTATTTTAACTAAGTCAATTCTTTGAGCGCGGTAGAGAAATAAAGATGTATTTCGTCTTGTCACGAGCGAGGGACAAAGGAAAAAGTGCGAAATCCGAAGGTCTGAGGTTCGATTCCACATGGAAATTTTTTCTTTGTCCCATGCTTATGACAAGACGAAAAACATCTTTCTTTAAGTCAGTCGTTTCGTTAGTTTTTGCGAACGCAGTGTAACTTTTGTTTAAGAGTTTTACTACCGAACCTAATTACGCCACAAATTGGAAGTTCGTTTCTATTTCAAGCAGCTCTTTCGTTATATTTGTACTTAGATATTTGTATCAATTATTTATTTTCAGTCGAATCACAATTACACGTCTGCGCATCTTTACGTCTAAGTATTTGTCTATCTGGGAATTAGATTATACGTGCATTCAAGTTGTGGCGTTAAACATGTAGTATTTAGCTACACTATGTTAATAAATTAAAGATCTATCACGGTGTAGTGGCGACATCTAAACTGGGTTCTCTCGAAGCCCCTTCAACTTTGTCCCATTCTTGTCTGTCAGCTGTCATTAGCGCCATGAAAGCAATAGATCCAATGACGTATAAAAGAAATGTTATCCAAAAAACTGTCCGCCATTCTCCAGAAGTCTGAAAGGCAACAGGAGGCAAAGAAGCAAAGGTTAAGTACAGATGTTATAGAAAAAAACTGCTTTTTCGGTTAAGTGGTTAAAATAGCTAAGAATGCACCGAGAAAAAAAAAAAACATTCCATTCCTTTGGCGATAAAGTCAAAAATACTCTCGTGGTAGGTTACTCAGCCTCCACTCCAGTGTAAAAGGCGAGGGGGGGGCTGAGTCCATCTACCACGGGACTGCGTCAGGCCTTACGCCAGAAAGAGGCTATTAGCCGAGCAAAGCTGTATAATGGATATCACTTTCGACCAGTACACAGGAGGGAGGAGTACCATGACACACATGGAAAAGACACACAACAGAGTGATACTATCAGCCGAGCAAAGCTATTTAGTGGATCGAACCTTGTGATGCGTTATGAACCCAACCAACATGGGACTGAGAAAGCCAGCGGTGTTACTGGCCGCGTTCACGATGCCCATGATGATAGACGCGTTTCTCGGCGCTATGTCTAACATGTTTACTTGGAAGCCCGCATAAACCAATCCGAGGGCAGCTCCGCTAACGCACATGCAACCTATCACAGCATCAGGATTCTTGAAATAGCCCGCTATTAGAATAAATAGTCCACCGGTAACTGCACCTGCAAAACAAAATGCGATCATATACAAAGTACGCGGTATACTTGGCAAGCGGAGGATCGTCAGTTAGATGTCTGGGTTAATTAAAGACTGTTTTCGTTTTATTGGCTATTCCTGTGGCATTCCACGTCAAGAAAAAATGTATGTGTTGGTTTGAATCTCATATTTACGAGAAAGCAATTTTATTTGCATAGAGTTCATCAAGGTGATCAACTTCTGACCAAAGAAGTAAAGGCATACGGACAGGACGCAGGATAATAAAAACCATTTACACTATCACGAAAAGACCTAATGTTAATGTCCTCCGCCATGTAACTCAAAAGACGTTTCAGGTCTGCTATGACGGTTTCTTACTTCAGGACCATTTAGCGAGCATTTCGCCTGGTACCACTGGGATTATACCTTACCATTTCCCACTTTTAAAAATTATCAAAGTACTGAGAACTAAAGAAAAAACCTGCAGTAAGATTTTCCAGCATTTTTTCTTTAATATGCGTTTTCCTTTTGCTCAAACATTTTTTTCTCTTTTCTTTAGTCACATTCATCCGCCTGCTAAAAATTAACCAGTGTGAACTTGCTATACCTGTTGTGTAGAACACGCGTCTCACCGTCTTGGTAGAAAGAATATTCCGTCTGAGCAGGTCAGCGGTGACTCCCGCCAAGGGACATGTTAAAGATTTGAAAACAAACGGAGCGGCAGCTGCAAATCCCATCTGAGACGAAGAAAATGAGCCGAGTAAAAGTAAATCGTACAAAAGATTATGTGTATATTACAAAAGTAAACTAATTTCGGTCGGGCCAGGCTGAAAGAAAAGTTGTTGCTATTCTCTAATTTGCTTTGAAATATAGAAAAGGTAGAAATGGCAAAAAAGAAAATAGGAGGATGAAGACGGACAGTCTGAGCTTTGTCAGTTGGGATATCTATATCTCATCGAAATCATTTCTAGTTAAGATAGAATACTATTCTGGTTGAGATCCTCCCGCGACAGCTCTTTAGACAACTAACAGAGAGGCAAAATCAAACACTACTTCCTAAAAAATTTACGAACAAAACCGCCACTGGCTACCCCAACTTTCATCGAGACAATTTTTATTGTTAATCAAAAGTTAGTAAAGTGTGGACGTGTTTGATGAATGAATATCTTTTTCACATCTAAATTAAGCATTTATATAATTTTCGATGTCAGCTAACTTCCAAGCGTATCAATTACTGCAGATCCCTTTCTGCGTGGCCGCAAGGCATGATCCAGATATTTTTGCGTTAATCATTTACGTTCTTCTCTGAATAATAACTCACCGCTGCAACTTCATAGTGCAAGATATCCATCAGAAAAAGAGGAACACAAATGAGTAACACATATAAGCCCCAATCGGAAGCAAAAGCGGCTATGATGATGGCCCAAACAGGACCTGAGGTCAGAATCGATTTCCAAGGTACAGTACCATGAGATACCTAGGAATGAAACACTCGTGTTGTTAATAATAATATTGTAATACCGTAAAATTCAAGTCTAAAGCAAGTTGTTTCCTAGTAAATATAGCTTAGCATCGGTGTTGGCACTCATATATTATCACAAGATTTTTCCAAATTCAGCCGCTATGCCGAAAAATAGGGGTAAAACTTGAATCGGCTGACTTCCTTACAAGTTAGTTTCTCATTTCTTTATCCTATCCGAAGACTCTTCTGGATCTTTTAGTGTTACGAGCGACAAAGGAAGCGAGTTTATTCTTTTACAGGGAATTCATGACATATAGTCAATGAGATCTTTTCGTTTCTAATAGTCGCGGATTTTCACTTGTCGAAAAACAGGAATAATTATTTGAACTAAGTTCTTACTCCCAGTTATGAAAGATTCAATTTTAAAAATATGACGGTTTTTTTTTCATGAATTTGGTCGGTTAAAATTATTTTTTGTTGGTATGCATCCATTTTTTAGTCCTCTCAAAACAATACGGAACTTAAAGACTTTAACCTCTTCCATATTAACAGCGGTAAGCTCAATGTAGGAGCGTTCGTCATATGTTATGGTAGGGTGAACTGATGGAGATTCGAACGCCAAAACAAACCAAGCCACATACCACATGATGCCAAATATTCCTGTGAATAGAGAAGTTGTTAGGTGTTTAACAAAAGCAATTTTTTAGGGGGCCCTAATTTTTTTGTTATTTTTTGGCTATTGTCATGCTGGAAATTGGATTGATAAAAATAAGTTTGGGCGCGAAGGGAAATAAAAGATTTGATCTCCAAGTGCTCGGTTGAGGTTGAGCAATGATCACGGTTTTGCTTATATGTCAATCTATCTTCTTCCTTTGACTGTTGAATCCGGTTTGAGGCCTTAGAGAATTGATTCATCTTTTTTTATTTGCCTGATTAAGCAAAGCAATCTAAGGATTATTTGTATATCTTAAACATTTTTCTTACCAAATGCATAGAACACAGCTGGCCATCCACCATCAAGATTATATCTTGTTAACAACCCAGAAATCGGCATTGTTACTATACTGCCAACAGTGCAACCTTCAATCAGAAATGTCAAGTTTTGCATTTTTGAAAACATTTTGTTCCAACCATGGGAAAACCATTAAAAGAAGAAAAAAACCAAGCTGAAGGAAACGATTTGAAATATCTTTATTTCTTTACCAACTTGCCAAAAATTGAGTGGGAGACCAGCAGAAGGAAGTTCGTTGCGACCTGTGCTTCTCGTAAAAATTTAGGAGTAGATTTCTCAAGATTGTCATTTGAAATCCATGCCGATCTTTTGCATCCTTCATCAATGTGCTACGCCAGTGGTTAATTCTTGTCTCTTCGGTATAATTCCATCCAAGAAAACAATTTTTTTGGACCAATTTTCAACGATCCATAAAACAAATCAATAATAAATGAACGGGTTTGAAAAGTACCTGTGACTGCTATAGTGACTAAAGTAGTTCTCTCCATGCTTGGTGCCCATTTGCTCCAGATAGCGTGGTTACAAGGAAACAATACTCCCTAATAGTTGGCAAATATGTGTCAGAAACCAGGTAAAAGCTCATTTGTAGCTAGAGAGGTAGATTAGAGATGAAAAAAAAGAGAAGTCTGAGGTAACGTGGGAGGTTATAGTCTTTGTAGAGTCGAGCCTTAGGGCGCACTGTATTTAGCGGTCACCATGTACTATGTGGTCAGTTGTCAAAGTCCTAAGTTTCTCCCCTTAGTTACTGCAATTTTCACCTTCAAAAAGCGGTCACCTCTTGAGCGGTCGCGGTCATCTTTGACTGAGTCCCAACGGCCTGTTAGCGTTGTGTCTTTTAGTTAACTGTATTGAACGGTTACTTCAACAGGACCACTCAAATAAAACGAACACATAACCCACTTGCTTATTGATAAAATCAGAATTGCATCTAGGATTGTTACTTTTCCATCGTGCGTTATTTCGTATATGAATTCGGTAATTAAAACTAATACTAACCAGAACCAATCCTTCACAAACTCGTACAACAATAAGAAGCACCACACTTGCTCTGGAAGCTAACGGGGTTATTAATGTCAAGACCGAAGCCGTCAGCACCGCTGAACCAAACAGGCGTGTTCCTCCGAGTTTTAAGGCAAGCCAGCCTCCGGGGATTTGTAACGCAACGTAGCCGTAATAAAACGAACCCAGTACCACCCCTGTGAGTATAGTGACACAACTTATTATTATCCGTAAAGGAAGTGAGGTTGAGTGTAACAAGAATCGTTAAAGAACTTTATCATGTAAACTGCGGAGTTTTACAAGGATTTTCCTTATAGGCTTGTTGCTTCCATGTCATATGCAAAATATTATATGGCTGCTTGTAGGATGGAATTTCTTGTGTTGAACTCGAGTTGAACACACTATAAGAAATTCCATATCTACGCGCAACCATGTATTATTCTCTATGTATATACCATACATCAACACAGAACAACGACAATTTCAAATTAATCTTGCCTTGTAATTTTGAGCTCCACTTAAATTCTGCCTCCTGGGAAAAAAAAAGCCAGAAAAAGAACTTGACGACGAAACAAGTTGGGTAAAGTTTAAATGCGTTTATCACTTGTTTATTCCAGCCTTGCTATGGGCGACCGGATTGGCAAGGATTTTTGCCGTGACCACGATCTTGGAAATATATTTCGCGATCCTTGCGGTCGTAAAGTCAGTATCAAAGTCGGTGGTGTCAATTTGATGCAAGAGGAACAACAAAATTTTGTTGGCATTGCTTTTTACAGTGTCATTGATACTTCCTTACATGTTAGAGAATTTAGTTGATTATTTAATACCACGCAATCTGAGTGCACGCTCTGAAAGCTTACTTTATTTAACAGGCGAAGATTCTTCCCTCTTTACAAGCAGCAGTCTTCGTTACTATGTGGTTATTTGATTTCGGTGATATGAAAACTTGAATTTATCATTTTTAAAAATGCCACCCGCACGTGTAAGGTCAGTCACGGCGGGGTGTTAAATTTATTCGGAAAACTCAAGACCCTGGCCTTCTCTACTTGAAAAAATCCCTTGAGTCGCGAAATCACGGACCACAGACCTTTACCTCCTTGTCGGTTTCTATTCCATGATCAGTCTGCGAGTTATCTTTCTCTAATTATGTAGCGTAATAAAATTTCGAATCAAGGGAATCAAGTAAGAGTAGCGTTGTCTACCTTTTCTGTCTCGACTCCATCGATGACAACTGTGTGGTTTTTGACCATTGCTCCGATGGCCACATTCAGATTGGTTCGCAACGCGTACATTGTAAAGAAACCCCAAAACACCAAGACGGAAAGGACGTACCTCTTCGGAATCCCATTCGAACAAGGTGCCATTCTTTTAAATTAAGGCCATTAAATCCTTGTAAAAATATTTACAGCGTATCTGACAATACTTACAATATGGTGCACTTGATTAAAATTATACCCGAAGATAGTCCTCATAGAACTAAAAGTTTTGTCCAGCGGAGTGCAATCTCTGACAGGGAGATGCATAGAATTACTACGCTGTCCGCATGAAACAAGATACATAGATACGCCGATCAATTCTCGCTACTTAGCAGCGGAAATTTGAATTTCATTACTTAATCATAACCACACAGTTAAAAACATTAAGTAACAATACATTACCAAATACTGTGTGAGAAGACGTATCGTATTTCATTAGTGCTCCATTGATCATTTTTCATTTTATTTATCAAAGAGTAAGGTAGTATAGATTTATTTTAAACCGTATGTCATAAAAGAGCATTTAGCCATTTTGAAGTAGATTGCTTGAGGTTTTAACATGGTGGATTACAGGTGGCGCCCGTCGGAACATCTTAAAATGCGACACCTTAGATTTGATAGAGAATATACAATAATAAAAAACAAAACAAAACAAATAAGAAACGGCGGAGAGTTTAATTAGAGAAAAAGTTCAAATATAAACCTTGACAAATGTTAACTAAGAGGTTCCCTCGCAGGAAAGTTCTATACACTTTTGCAGAACACATTCATTTTGCATCTCAACTCTATTTTATGCCTTAAGACATGTGGCTTTTCCTTCCATTTGAATTAGTGCCTTTTAACTTCCCCGAAAATTTAGGACTTGTATGCACTTTGCACAACAAAGGAAAACTTTATTGAATAACGTACAAACTGGTTTCCTCACCACGGATTGGCTGGATTAACCAACTCAGAAAATTGCTGAAGAACCACTCGTTATTTATCACCTGGGATGGGAGGGACAGAGGTTTTTGGGGTGGAGAATCGCATGGTTTTCATAGGAAACGGAGGCGGAATCATTCGTCGCAAGCAAAGTATGAGCGAAGTTTTATAGGACATTGAATAAAGAGATAAGTTTCAAAAGAACTGTGATGCTGCGTCGGTAGGAGAGTATAGCAGGTAATTTAGTGTTAACAACTGAGTTGAGCGTTTTGAGCGTTTTGAGCGTTTTGAGCGTTAGCCCTTCGTCAGAGCGATTGACGAAGGGCTAACGCTCGAAACGCCAGCTTTTGTACTCTCTACGGTGGCTTATTTACGTTTTCAACTCAGTTGTTAACACTAAATTACCTACTATAGGACATTGACGGTCAATTTACCACAATGAGGGGGAGGGGGGATCGTAAGTTGATTACAGAGTCCTGTGGCAAGATCAGGTATACGGTATTGTGAAACAACCAAATCCTCCAACCCCCTCACCTCCCCCCCCCCCCCCGTGTTTCCCTGCCAGCGGATGAATAATGATTGACCCCTAAATCTCCTAAGTATATTGTATACGAAGGTACGCAAAGAACCAATTTCTAGGATTGTTCTAGCTACCAGTAGCACTTTCAGATTCAATGTTTTCGTCTGTTGGTTTATTCCTAGTTTGGTCCCAATCCTGTCGTTCTCCGGACATCAAAAGGCAAAATAGGAAAGTCCCTCCAAGTAAAATTACAAATGTTAACAAAAAGACCCTTTGCCACTCTTCAGCAGTCTATGAAAGAAGGAAAGGAAGTTATGCATTTTGCTATGTGGTACAGCATTTACATTAGGAGCTTTTATGATTTGATATAGACCGAATGCAAATATGGCGGACCATGCGGGAGGCCCAGGTCGAGTGCGTGAACGCGAGGCTACTCAGGGCTCGGGTCTTGAAAAGAACTGCATAGTGTAAGTCTATTCTGCCTTACTTTTCAATGCTTAAGAGTTGCTCTGTTCCTGAATGTCATCAAAAAGGAAAAATAATCTTTCACCGGAGGATTTCGATTTTTGAGTTTCCCTGCTCGCCTCAGATTAAAACATGGTATCTACATGTTTCTAAATCGCATTACTAGATAAATTAATGGCTGATTGCTCTTAGGTAAAATGAATTGGCTTTAAGCTTTTACTCTGAATTCTGATTGGCTCTTTGTGACATTTTCTTTTGCTGTGATTGGCTGTCGTAATTACTTGGCTTTGGTTTAACTGCAATCAATCGAAATGCACTCCATACCAACCTTATCTTGGGCAATGAATCCCACTATGGTTGGACTGACAAACCCAGCTGTAGTTCCAACAGTGTTACAAACGCCCATGATGATACTCGAGTAACGCGGAGCAATGTCCAGCATGTTTACAGTGTATGCCGGGAATGCCAGTGACGTAGTCAATCCAGCCAGACTCATGCAAATAACAACCACCGTGACATTTAAAGAGTAACCAGCTATGAGGACTAAAAACCCACTCGCTATGGCGCCTGGAGAAGAAAAAGGAAGACATTATTATTAAGAAGACAGGTGAAATAGATTATCGGTTAAGATGTAGACCAAGTTCACAAAAAGCTTGAGGTAGTGGAGACTGGAAGTTGCACTTTTATTGACCGATACGAGGATGAATCCTATTTCCAGTCATCTTTAGCGAGTAACAGATATTAGAGAAAAATCCACCAAATCGCTGATCTCCGTTTTTTCACTCTGAAAAAAAGGGGTTTGTGACCCTGTGTTGGCTAAAACAGCCAGAACACGTTTTTTCGTTTTTCTTCTTGTATAGAAAAATTGAATAGGAACCTGTAGAATGAAACCAGCAAGATGAAAGAGGGCGATCCCGACCGAGAGGCCAATTAGGATATAGGATTCGCTTCATCTTTCTAGTTCTTGGAGCCAGCCCTATGATAACGATATCTACCACGAAAATTGGGGACATAAGTTTTCAGATCTTGAAGTTAAAACGAGTTGAGTTAGTTCAGTCATTGCACCGAAAATCGTTGACGATTACCACAGACAAGTCAACAAAGAAACCTTTAGCCAACTTAGAGGTATAGAAAATATAGACTTGTAAGTCCGTTTTTTTTTTCGTACCAGCAGCGTAAAAAACTCTTCTAACGTTCTTTGTAGATACCGTGCTTTTCCTCAGCACATCTGCTGCTAAGCCAGACAATGGAGAACAAACACCTTTGACGAGAAAAGGTGAAGCAGCCATAAATCCCATCTGAAAATAAAGATAAGAAAAGAAGAATAACACTGAATGTTAGTTTTAGTTGAAAGCAGCCCAGTTTAGAAGTTTAGCAAGGACCATTATTTACTTCTCGATAGAGTATGAGTGCCGAATAAGAAAATAGTTTGCTAGAGGTCATACTTTGTTGACTGAACATATAGATAATACTGGCCTCGTTTTTTTTACTTTCTCCTTGCGTTTTTTCCATCTCGCATCTCACCGAGCCGGACTCTGGCCTGGGTGGGTCTTATAATGAATGCAGGTACGTAAATGTGCTAACAAAAGCTCCGCTGTTAGAATTGGCCTATTCTTAACATGGTGCTATAAACTCACACTGGTGATAGATGTTTTCATGACATCTAGTAGAAAAGTTGGCATCGATATAAGCAAAATATAAAACGCCCAATCCAATGCAAAATTGGCCGCAATTATTCCCCAAACAGGTGGTGATAGTAAGATAGATTTCCAAGGAATTACAATATTCTCTACCTGAGGAAAGAAAGACAGTACTATATGTTGGGATTAAATCAAATAAAAATAATCATAAAAAAAAGGAAAGATGTATGTAACGTTATAGAATGGACAAGGAAACTCAGAATAAAGTTGAAGAAGAATGCGTAGAAAAGATAAAATCAACGCATGAAAACTTCTCTAACTTAAGAAAAACGCGGATATTCAGTCACAATTTGTTTTATTTTTCCAGACCACTTAGGTCAGGTCTTGAACAAAAAGAGGAAGTGGAGACGCGAGGGAGGAGAAGGGATGGAGAGGGTAGGAGGGGAGAGGGTAGGGGAGGAGAGCGGGAGCGAGTGGAATTGAGGTGAGGAGATTAAATAACCTAAGTTTCGAGGCAAATTTCCTTATCTGAATCTTAGTCGAATTCCCATGCTTTTAATTTTTTTCTCGTTTCCAATAATCCAGTTCTCGCTTAAGCATTTAAAGAATAGGCTATCCCTTTAGTATAATTTAGCTCTACATGCTAAACATCATATGGCATGGAACTGGATCAAACATGTAAACCAAGAACCACAAACACTGTATGGAACATTGCCCATTTAGAAGTACACCAAAGGTCATGTACGAGACCTACCTTAGACAAGTCCAGGGCTGTTTCTTGTATTAAACTCTTCTCGTCATCTGATATGGTCGGGTGAAGTGCAGGAGACTCGTAGACAACCATCAGCCAAACGAAGTACCACACTATACCAAACACACCTGATAAAAAAAAATCCGTAAAATCATTTTCGGTACGGCTTCTATTTAAGTATTCTTGTGTGACTGACTGACTGACTGACTGACTGACTGGTTTAGCCACCTCTTCTAAGGCAAGAGGCCCTTTAGTGGAATGGAGGGAGGAGAGGGTGGATACCTCAGGATATTACAGGCACGTGTGAGTGACAGGGAGGAAAGATTAGCTTAGGTCTAACGAGCCCTTCAGTTTGAGCATATCCAACTTTCATGACGAAAATCGTTATCGACCCACGAGTAGAAACTATTTAAAACTCATAGAATCGAAACAAGTCTTAAGCATAGATACAGCAGTTTATTGCAAAAGAATAAAAGCAGCAGCAGCTACATTGCAATGTTCAGATAAAGACGTAAATAAAATCGAAATAATTTTTAAATCATCGATAACTCAAATGGAAAAGGAAGTCAGTGACATATAAAACTCGTACGTTATATGTCTTTGACGCATTACTTCCAAACGATAAAATTTCACAATACTGTATTGAGCTCAGATACTCACCAAAGCAATAAAATACGGAGGCCCAGCCCCCATCAAAACCATATTTGGTGAGCAAGCCTGTAATAGGCATAGTAAGGAGGTATCCAATGCTTCCCCCTGAGATGATAAGCAAAGTCCAAGTGCGTGAGTGCATG